ATAGCAAGCCGATATTTTATTCTAGTATTCCAAATATCGCACCCCTTATCAAACCTTGATTTCGTCCCGAGGTTCTAAAATCGGTTATCGATATGATTTCGCTTGATTATGAGTTATTTCAGTGTGGATAGAGTCGGCCTATTCGCCTGATTTGCATGGAAGCTCAAAGGCGTTTTATCTGTCTACTGGACTGTAGATTGATTTCTCTATATTAATTCAGTCTTCATCATCATGCTTGATACACTACAATGTTACGGGAGCGAAACAACAGTAACTTGCTTGGCAACTAGAAATATTTCAAAGCGAATATTCCTTATTTTTTTTAGCATTGCAAAACTGCCAAATACCGGCTATCCAGTCAAATTTACTACTTTACTTACTACTAATAAAACTACTAATGAAAATTTTACTTAGGCGTTTCTTCTTCCGCTTGGGCGAAAGCTAAACAATGAACATGTTATGATGCAGATAAACTAACAAAGAAACATTGGGCTTTACTGCCTATTTTTACGTTTTCTATACACCTCTAACAGAAATTTTCCATGCAAATAAGCTAATAGTTTGTGCTAGTTAAATCAAAAGAACAAATGTACATATCGTATGTATTCAATATCAAGTAAGAGTTTATTCCTCCATACAATTTGCATATATTCACATACCTTTTTATCTATTTGTATCTGAATTCATTAATAATAAGAATGACGTTGCACATAAAAAAAACAAAGCTTATTTCATTTTTTGAAATCCTTGACTTAATCGTAATTTCTACCCGAATTATGATTAACTTTATACACGCAAAGAAACCCTAATTCATACTGCAGCACGACATTTTAAACTGCGCGCCTTAAATCGCCAGTCCAACCGATGTATTAACCTGGCTTATGAAATCTCGGCTTACCGGTCATCTGTTGTATCCAGAATAATTCTCAAACTCGAGACCACGGCTGTAGCTGACATTTTTCACAAAGCATCTCGAAATAATTTCCGTGCTTGGTTAGACTTTCTTGCTGTTCTTCACATAGTCCTACAAGTGTCTGCTGATAGAGAAGGAGGACCTAACTTTTTCTAGTGGGTCGTCTGAGTATTTCAAGAAGAGGAGGTCTTCGGTTAGCCGGTCGTTTCGGTAATCCTGGACCATGCAAACCAACTTTGCAAATCTCCAACGATGGGCATGCAGCCGCTATTGGGTTAAATGAATGGGACATTAGAAAAGCACTATCGTTGTGCTCGACCGATACTTTTGCTGCTGGAAAAGAAGTACCATTGGCTTTGTAGCAAAAGCATCTGTCATGTCTCTTTGCCTCGTTGCGCCTCCTACAAGCATAACACTTGACGAAAACGCGTTACAAACAATACAGTCCTTCGTAATAAATTTTACTTTCGTCGCCTCCTGGAGCTATTTCTTCTAACAACTTGTGAGGTTATTAGTAATTTGAAGATCAATCGTGTATTCTTCGACTTTATGAGGGATAATAGCTAAAGTCTATTGTAGGTGAAAAGTTTGCTGTCGCTTGGGATCCTCATAAAGTTAGATTTTTAATGAGGATCCTAAAAGGTACGAATGCGGTAACCCACCAAATCCGCTCTTTCATGCAATTTAGTTGTTCTTGCCCACTACTACCCCGGTAATCTTGACTTCCGCAATACCTTTATCTCATTGCATCTAGACTGGAAGCTGCGAGCAATGCGCAACTACACTCCTATACTCTCCCATTTGACGCACCAAGCATTCCATGATCATCACTTGCTGTTTTAGAATGATGTTTTGCTATTTTTAGCAGTTTGCGATTTCCAACAAACAAGCGATTCCTTTGGTCCCGCCTTGTTTAGCCTCGCAGTTAAAAATTGGCTGATTCTTTAGCGTTCTCTCTGAATTTTTAATATTTCAGTAATCTCATTCTTCGTGGGGACTCGCAGACACGTTTTAAAGTTCGGATCTGTACATCAAACATTCTAAGGTGAAGGCTTGCCTTTCTTAACTAACGCATTAACAAGGCCAAACCTTGTACAGGCTCTACTTCCTTCCTCCTTACACCGAGGCTGAGCAAAACTCTTTTAAGCCCTTGGGTTGTTCCCTTCTCTCCGAGCGATTTCGGTCGGTTTTTGAGTCTTAGCACGAGAAGCTCTGGATGATGCTAAAGAAACTACCACTGTTCGAGGCTCAAACGGGCATATTTTTAACGAAGAGCTCTCTTTAGCTGCAAAAATTATTCACTCCTTTCTGACAAGCGGTTGCAAGGATTTGACCTATCCAATGAAAAGGAGCTCCTGACATTCTTCAGTTCATTCCATCTATAGACTCCCTATTCATTTTGCGATTATTACCAATGGCATAAAGGTCAGAAACTTTTTCTGCCGCTTCGAGCGACTTATGCAGCACAGAGAAGCTAACCGTAACCAGAACAACTGTTGAGTCGTTGGGTTAGTGGTGGAGTAAAGTTGCTGAGTAAAAAACCTGTAAGGATTTTCGTCGGTCAGAAATACCCTTGGGTAAAACTGCCAGTTCCATATTTGTTGTCTTCTGAAGACTTACGGTACTTGACATTAGTAGGTAAATCTTTTCTCCTCAACCTACTGTTAGATATGTTTGGAGAAAGCCATCAACGATGTTGAAGATCTCAGCTTATAGCCCTTACTTAAGGCACGTGGGACTGGAAAATTTTCACAGTGTGTCTCCTTCGCCTACTGGAGTATTACTTGATGAATGATGTATTCGTGCGATTCTTCGCTAAGTGAGTGAATTAGCTGACCTTCATTTTTGCCATTTCAAGGAAGGCCCGTTGATGCTTTTGGTTTACTTTTTTGCTTAGACTTGTGCTCAGCTCGAAGCTCCTAGCACTAACTCATCAATGAAACCTGCCCGAGCTCTTCATTTGGTATACCTGCAAAATGTGATTGAGTTTCCAGATTTTTGTCTCTCAGACGGTGAACGGCCTGATTAAATGACGTTAATTCAGGAGCCAAGTTTTTGTTTGGAATATTTATATTTTTTGTTACATAGCACCTTCGCACCGCAGAACAACATACTTGGGCCATGCTGACAACTTAGCAGAAAAACGAAGAAAGGGATGTCTGTGGTTCTAAAAAATTATTTATTTTCTCGACGTCTAACTTTTGAAACCATAGGAGGGATGGGTGTCCAGTTAAACAATTTTTGATAAAGAGGGGTAGTCACTTATCACTTGTACGCTACTTTTTAATACAGAGGTTCTTTTTTGACACAGAAATGGGTAAGTTGATTTCTATTCTGGGTACAACGAAGGATTAAAAGAAGAAGGTGCCATACTTTAGGCAGTGAGTGTGACATACTAACCTAACGCAGCGTTTACTTACTGCGTAGATTATTGTTTATGGACAACATGGGCAAGATGTTTATAACTCAAATAACAAAATGATTAACTCGAAATACGCTAAAGGATTCCTTTGTTAATAAATATAGGAAAGGAAAGTTATTCAATAGATACGTTGTAATCATAGCCAATACATTTGGAAGACCTTGGTATACACAACTCAATAGTTCTTATAAAACTTATCACTTTGGTTAACAATGCTGAGAAGACCATTTATTAACATGTATTATACAAGCAGGTCCTAGACACGATATTAGGAATATTTGCGCAAGCATGATAAATCCTTAGGGTATGCCATGGCCGCCTTTACCCAACAAGTTTCACGCCATGAAATATTTTCGAAATATTGAATATTCTTGGATTAAGACGTTATCGCATATGCGATCATTAGGTTGCCACCGGTGCAATCACTGTTCGTCATCATAAAAATCTATTCAAATCAAGTGTGAAACAGGTTCAAAGAATATCTATTGTGTTCTCTGGTTCAACGGAACATTTCCAATGAGTTAAAGGTTGTGTGAGTTTATGTCGTAATGCACATATGTTATGACACTAGTGTTTCTGCATATAGCAGTCTATTATCACCCGCGCATTTAGTATTAATAGTAACTGATGTACCTGTGTCCAATTTACACTGCCTTTAAAACCACATTCATCTCATAAAAATCAACTGAAATTTGCTATCAGCGGCTATAAAGATCTGTGCAACCAGTCGCTTAATTTTTAGTACTTTAGCAATTGCATTAAAAAAATATGCGACTTTCTTTGCCATTTATTTGCGCACACAACTAACTTCTTAGTTGTAGATCGATGGCGATAGCTCGACTCGTGCAGACGCGGGCGATAGCTACATGCAATACAAATCAACAAAAAGAAATAGAGCTTTATCTTTGTCCTCATCACCATGATATATATACCATGGTGTTTTCTCGTGTTGTCTTGTGAATTATATCTAATAGATTAACGCACTTTAAACGGCTTCAGATCTGAAAATCGATTTCTACATTCCCGTTGTATTCCTTCAAGTTCCATTGAAAAATATTTGTCGAACAGTGACTGCACTATGTTGCATATATTGAAAAAAATGCGAGGCTTGTTTCGATCACTGTTGGATGTTGTCGTTTTAAAAAAACGGAACGCGAGGATCAACGAGATGCTAATAGTTGATGCGATACAATACGCAATGTGTATAAACAATTATTGTTGAGTTTTGCAATGTCCCTTTCCACCATTTTCTCTCGCTCTCTGTGTCTATTTCCATCGAGTTCTCGGTCTCCCTTCAATAAATAAAAGCAATATTTTTTGCGAAAAACGGCAAACCTCTCCACCGCTTTCTACGCAGTTTTCTGCTTAACATTTTTAGTGACTTACTATTTCTTCTTTGTTTTTACAAAACGTAATATACTATTGAGCAGCTTCGTCTGCCGCAAGTTTCTATCAGTACCTGTGAGTGTAATTTTAGAACATTGTTGTTGTTGTTATTGCCTCCGTTGTTGCTATCACTGGCAACCTCAGCAAGATCATCAAAATATCAGCGACGATATTTTGTTGCTACTATTATTGATGTTATCTCTTTTTATCTCAAAGATGTCAATTAACACTTGTTCAAGTTTCCTGACTCAGTTTCGTATCCATGATTATTTCATCTTCTTTCAGATTCTTGCAGCCCTATATTTTTTTTTATATGCAGTTGTTCAATATTATATACGCAATGGCTGAAGACTGATTTTAGCTGAGCTCAAATCCAGCGCCGGCCTGGATAGCATACAATAGCTTGCTTTTCATCGTCTCAAAGTCCTTGATTTCTGGCAACTTCAGGAGATTCATGCACGTAGCCGATGTTGGTAGTCGATCGGGAGACTCGACCCGATTGACGCAAAATGGCGGCTGTAGCTCCTGTGTGTTGTAGGAACATGAATGTTACATATAGAATAAAAACTGTATGCACGAGAAATTTGGTTCAAACGTAGGTTGTATTGTTTTATAGATATAAAAATGGGCCACAGACCACGAACATAGGTTAAACATATATATCGAATATTATTTTAGTCCTTATCAGAAGTAATTCTTTCGAATCTTTTAATCGAAGACGCTTAACAAAAGGCAGTCTCATTGCTCTTGGAACCTCACTACGTAATATTCTTAAATTGAGAGTTAACAAGTGGGAACTGATTAAAGTTTCGGCTTGACATGAATACATACTAGTTTATCTAGTAGTGATTACTTCAAACGAGATCAATAGGGTAAAAGAAGCGTTGATTTTATGATGTATAACTTTCATTATAAGCAATCGAGGTCAATTTTGTGTTTAGCGCCCACAACATAGATAACCCACGTTAAAAAGATCGCATGATCAGAGGGTGAAGACAAAAACAGCGCTCTATTTTGTTTGTTTAGTATTACAGTTCCAGTTACTTACCTTGAAACCCAGAAGTGGAGGTCGTGAGCAGCTAGTCGTAAATTTGAGTAGTTGTTTCCGTTGGTCTTCATTAAGAGAACTGACAACGCGCCAGAAACATACTATGACGGGATGATTTTCGTTGTAACCCACTCCATAAACAGTGTGAGAACGCCAATCAACTATATTAATTTCGGTAGAGACTCCGGAAATCAAGATCTGTAGCTCCTTTGGGTCGAACAACTGCAACCGATGCGGCTCGATCACGTCCGCTAGACCTGATCGACGTTAATCAAGATCGTTAATTGTTTAACGTGGACTTAATAACGCTATTTTCCCGTTAAACGTTTGGAATATAGATAATACGGGTGAATGGCAATAATGGTCACAGATAAATATATGATTTAATTTATACCGAGCGTACCACAGACAAGGGTGCCCTCAATTTTGAAGAAATATGACATTTACAAACCAAAAACTATAAAACAACAAATCAGCGACCTAAAAATCATGATACCAGAGCCCCGGCTCAAATTTGACAAGATCTACAGGTAAATCAACGTTTGCCATAGATTCGTTTCGCTGTGATGAGTTAAACAGTTTTCATACAAATATTTTTATCTTGAATTTATGGAAAATTTGCACAAACGGCATACCTTGCTTAAAGGCAGCAGTTTGCTGTCGTATCTGACGGTTGAGTTTGTAATCGGCCATTAAATGTATGTACTCGATGCGGTTAGCTTCCGTAACAGGAATCTGGGCTCCGTTAGGCTTCAATTCGACAGTTTGTTGTTCGCCGAGCTCGTTATTTACCACAGCAAAGTCAAGCCCCAACTCAGTTACATCGCCTTCATACGATTTCAGGTATAACAGGTTCCTTTACAATGTATTAAAATGAACAACGAATGAGATTTATTGGTAGAAATAAAATATTACACTAATATGTTATTATTATACATTAAATACAAGAGATAGTACTTATGTACTATTATGCAAACGAATCATGAAAAAGCTCTATTTCAATTAATTCTTCAGATAAAGAAAAAGGAATGAACTTCGGTTTGATTCGAGTAATTCACCAAAAAGAATCGTCTTCGCTTACATCTATTTATCTAGTTGATAATAATTTTTAATTTACCTAGTACACCATATTATTATAAAATTATATTTGATTCTGTTATTCTTCCGTGACGATGTTAATTGATGCTAGCTTTTATCATGGTAGAGACTGGAGAAAAACATCAGACATTTTCAAGAAAAATAGTAAGAAATTCGATCATAACCTCGGGACTGCACTTACTTGTAAAGCACCGGATCCAGAGATGCAAGATAGTGGATATCCAAGTCGAAGGAGTTGTTTCGCGCCAGCAGTTTCGAGAGGAAAAATTCGGCGAGTGGCAGTTCAACTAGCATTGAGTCGTATATAGCTTTACCTAGCATTCTTCCAATGAAATAATAGTGCCGCTGGAAGTTCGGTACAATTAGGTGCACCGACGGATTCGGGTAGAAGAGGTTATCTGATGTTGTTTTGAAAAATCCCCGATTAATATCGAATGATGTTCGAAGCAGCTCGCCTAAGAACTCCCGAAACACACCACCGCCATCAATACCTGCTTCTTCAAGACCGGCTGCATTCGTCATTTGGACCTAAGATCGCCAGATGAAAGCATCACAATACAACACCAACAAATGAAATCAAACAAAGGAAACGACAAAAACGATTAGATATTATATGATATGACGCAATTCAAGTTGGCAAAACAGCTGTTGCAAAATTGATCACAAATTAACCAACTTTAGCCTCAGAACTCTCAATCGATCAGTTTCATTTCGGCTTATCATACATGATGGAAAACAGTTCCACTACAGAAAAACAAACGCCGACTTGCCCGAACAGGATTGCGGATGCTAGGGGCATCCTCTAAGCCAAACTTTTCGAATGCATCTTCGTACAGATGGGTCCTCCGTATACTATAGCTGTTGCTAGGCAAGTCTCGATACGTGTTCCTCACTTCTGGAAAGAAGAACAACTCATCTGCATTGAGGCGATCTCGCTGGGACAGGTGCTGAAAGATCTTTACACGATTGTGAAAGGGTATCACGAAAGGCAGCTCCTGAATGACAGCTATCGTTCGGAGCTCCACTGAAGGTAAACAGTACAACACACGTAAAAGGAAAGTGTGAAGTTAGGCAAACGCACAACTCTAATAGTAGTAATCACATCACCGTAAACTTCACTCAAAGGCACGGAGAATGTTTTCCATAAAATATATAACAATTTTTTGTGCTTGTTCGTTAGCAGTGTGGAGAAGCAATGTTACTTTTATAGTCCATGTGACAGAAACGAGTATTGCAAGTACGCTTAATTCTAAGTTTTGTCTAACAATCAAACTAACGAAGATAATTGTGTCTGCTTGATTACAGCAGGATATTCAAGAATGCCAATAATTTTTAGCTGATTTACGATATCAGCACGCACCTGTGGATGCCTGCGGACCGTCATCGTAGACTAGTCTCTGGAAATTTTTCGGAACAAAATGCTGAAACGGTTGCCGCTTTAGGTACGGTCGTTTCAAGTTGGCATCCGTCACTTGATCGGGTACCACCAGCACGTTCACGATCCAGTTATCACAGAATTTTTTGCGGCAATCTCTCGAGTAGAGTTGGCGCAATAGCTGCACAACATTATGGAACAAAGCTAGCCACATCTCAACATTACCATCCTCGCCATTCAAATAACTCTCCTTTGGTACCCAATACGACGAAGAATGTGTATCGGGAAACGACAGTTCGATGAGGCCTAGCGCCACGTCTCGTAGCTGCATTGCTATCGATGCTAGTTCACTTAAACTGAAGGGCATCATAGATGAGCGCGCATCAGGCAAATCCGGCATATCTTCACTTATCTCGTGGTAGAACTCCGTCTCGTAGATCGTCGGTAGCAGTAGGCCGAACAGGCTGCAGAAACATACTAATAGAGGTAAAAACGCTAGTGTATCGTTCTTCGACAGTCTCCTTCCAGAGGACAACGTATGCAATAGCGGCTTTTGGTTCGACCATAGCGACGTATGCTCAGTATCGCCACTAGTGTGAACAGAAGAGACAGTTTGCCACAGCAAACGAAGGAACGGTGGCCGAAACACCAACTTGCACAACAGCGGACATTTGTGTAACGAGTACTTGATTCGCGCCTGCATTACATAGCTGACCGAACACACGGCGATCAACGCCTCCAGTGATTTTACTGTCTCGACACCTGTGACAACCTTTTGTACAAAGTCATCTTTGTTAAGAAGGCTCCATATTCTTTCGATTGCTGTTCGCTTCATCACGTTTTCGTTCACCTCAAAGTCCATATCCTCTTCGGAGTCGAGGGATTGATCGGTTCTCGAATACGCCAGAACATTCGTCTCACCTGATGGCAGCATTAAATCGAAGAGCTGTTCCCTCAGTACGATAAGGTAGTTCACGACGTCTTGTTCAGACAGATTTGGGACCCGTGAGCTGACTATTGTGACGATAGCGTGTAGTTTCCAGATAGTGTTGGCTTCTTTATCTTTGCTGCTTAAAAGTGCACTGCGGATGAGTGCCTGTGCAGGTAACACCTCATTGTCACAGGCCGCTATTAAAGGTAACACCATGTGGAAAATCCGACAGTCTATGGATGAACACACAGGATCACCAAAGAAGCTGTCCAGAAAATTACTGATAACTTTGCATTTGTCGTCAAGTTCGCGACAGCTTTCCAACGGTTTCTTCACAAAAGAGACAAGCGATTCGGCCAGTGGGGTTGGAGCCTTTTCGCACTTTTCATTAACTTCAGGACATCTTGATACGATCAGATACTTCAAGATAGTAAAATAACCTGATTTAACGAGCTGAAGCCATAACGCGGTTCCAGAGGGACACGCATAGATTTCCACTAGCCGCAGCGGAAGTACAAGCGATTGTGATGTACCGCCTGACTGCAGCATACGAAGATTCGCAATGAGAACAGCCGAGAGTCGTTTGTTCCAGTTCCTGTTTTGATCTCGCCGTATGATATCAAGCACCTCTTGGCTCTTTTTCAACAAAACTTCACTCATTTTGTGTAAGCGTTCGTCATCACCGGGACTTTCATAAAAAAAGATGAGGCGTGATATGAGTGAGCCCACTGAAGTGATATCGACACCAGTGGAGGTAGCCTCGTCGAACGATTGTCGTAGGGAGCTCGCCTAGAAAATAATACAAGAACAAAGTAATGACCTACCATTTAGAAGAAAACTAAACATTTCTTTACCGTTTCTCTAGTGCTAGTGTGTTCTTCCGAATCGTAAACGCAATTGTTGAAATCCCAACAAACTAAATATTAAAGAGCTAAATAATGTTGTGAATTATTGTTGTTATTCCAAACAAAAATCCTGCTTAGACGATTATCGTGGGTGGAATAGCTAGTTGCTTCTCATAGACCGATACACTATACGACTTTCTAATTCTATGGTTATTGTATATGTATGAATGTAGGGATTACAGAATCACAACTAGCCTATTTATTATCGGCCAAGACTACATCAAAGTTAGTATGACGCCATCTCCAAGTAATTGAATCATACTTTCTCATGGAGCCGGATTGCTAAATACTGTCACGGTAAAATAAAAATAAACGTCTTCCAGGTAAACGTCCGAACGATTTCTTGTTGTCATTGACATTAGATATGAGCACTCACACTCCGAGCTATAAAAATAGAACATGACTTCACGCCTTTGCTTTGTCACGTTAAAGGCAGCAAAAAATTTGCCCCGACTAGTTTTTTTGCCAAGATGCTCTAATTGGTCGACCCAGTTCAACAAACCTGGACACACAAAGTTACACTGGCAGAAACGAAGGAACTCGATAAAAAGACGACGAAAAGTTTCGAAAAATTTTAATATGAAGTACTAAAATGAAAACAAAATGCGAAGATCTAGGGCTCCGGTAGTTATCAACAAAGTAATCCAATTTCAGTGCTACTAACTTGCGACCGACCAATCAGATTCCACCACTCATCTTAGCGTTTGAAGCAAATGCACACCTGAGATAATACAAACAAGCATCAGGAAAAACTACCATCACAAAAAGGACGAATAATCTCTAGACTTTAGACTCAATGACCGGACGCTTCTAAACGTATTAGGACGACAGCAACATTTTCTTGACGGTTACAGGTTTTCACATGTCGATGAAAGAAACTTATCATTGAACGGTTTGTTGCTACATGTTCGTGAACCTGAGTCACGGAGGTATAATATTTTGTGAAAAATACAAGAGAACTTAGATAGGAACTTATATAGAATAGAATCACCATGGAAACAAATGCTTACACTTTACGAAACAAAACGGTAAGAGTGGGGTGACACGCACATATAGAGGCTAAAATAACGATACCTGTGAACATGTACGCAATAGTATATAGAGTGTGCTTGACGTATGGTTAGATCACGGAAATCGGAAAGAACTAATCATAACCAAGAAATGCGCTCATGCATCGAAATTCAGACCTCGACAAAAAAGTACAGGCATGACCGCGAACCGGCAACTCTGACTGATTTAGCCGTTCACTCCTACAAAAAAGTTCGGTTTGAGCCTTGCAAATGTCCGAACAAGCGGCTTCTGTTTTTTTTTTAGTTCGCGTCGTTTGTTTTCGATAACTCTGATCACGGGTAGTCTGAAAGGGCACTCTAGCTCACTTCAATCCAAACTTACGCAGCCAATAGATCAGGACTGGTTAAATAACTAATTGTCTTATCCTGTATGACAAATAAGAAGGGGACGGTGGAGGGATAAAATGATGGCGACAAAGGCCGTGGCCGGCATGTCTGTGTGTTACCAGTTAATAACAGTAAGTTAATGCAATAATAATAGTAAGATTTCCTGATATTCAGAATTGTGTGATGTCCTACCACTGCTACTAAAAAAAATAGTAGATGGCATCAGCAAAACTATTAAAATACGATAAAATCCTATATAGGACGAAATACTGGTGTAACATATCACATACATAGATGTCTGTTTGTTTATTCTTTGTGATGAACCTTTCACACTTATCATTACAAACTTTATAGCGGTATGGCTTTATCGGTAGCACGTCCTGTACCATGCGTCAACCTAATGCCGAAATAGCTCAATTAGCGATGAGAGGCAAAGGAGTTTTTCGTATACAAAATGTATTCGGTTTTTTTGCCCCACCTTGGACAATCGTGTAACTTCCGACTCCCCTTAAACAACACCTCCATAATAGGCGGCGGCCGTAACCATAACAATAAATATAATAACCCGCCTGGTGAAACAAATTGAAATAAATGAACTTAGTGATGGCACTTTGTCGGAGTCATATACTTTTAATATTAGACTTTAGGGACTTAGCTTCAGCTTATTGTCATGACATATAATGTAGAGGCGCTTTATATGGCCGAACTGAAAACGATTCGGACTAAGCGTCAGGGATCGCCACCAAAGGGGACCTGTTCTTATCAAGAAGCACGATGGGATTCAGACAAAAACTCTCCACTAACTTTGTATAAAAATAGTCCATAGAAATGACTACAATAAAAAAATGTTTGGAAATTAAATAGCTACACCTTTTTCTGTGGTAGAACGGCTGGCTACATCAGACGATAAGCTTCTAAACTATAATAATACGCTAAGGTTACAAGCATAACAATGATATTTTTTTTTACTAATAACAGACAACTTACTGACTAGCACAATAGATAAATAAAGTAACTTAACTAAGACGGAAGCTATTTATATTACAAGGAAGAACTCGTTTCAGTGGTTTCTTTGTTGTACATCGGCTCTCCATTGAAAATAGTTCTACAGTATTTCAACAAATGTTAATACTCCAGTGCAATGAAACTAAAACGATGTATGACACTATATGTGCGGACATTATGTGAAAGCGTATATTGAATGACAGTGTAAAAAAAGGTAAACAGAGACGTACTGAATATCGAAGAAGGTAGATCTTCACCTGAGCCCATATTAAAGAATCTAGATGATGTTATAGAGTTAGCTCGAAGCAAAAACACAGTTCATAATTTGTGAAGTAACCGATCTACCTGGGCACCTCAGACACCAACAGTCTTGCACGATTATGGTGAAATAAAAATAGATCCCACACATACACACAGACACACTCACACACAGACTCATGCGAGAGACTTTTGACGATTAGTTCAGGAAAAACGTCCGCATCCCCTGAGATGCACTCGTACAAAAAAACTTTGTGTTATCATTAACATTATCAGTACTCGAGGTACCAACAGCCTGAGCTCAAAAGTAGGACTCGTACCTTACGCCTTCGCGCTTTCAATAGTAAATCCCACCTGTCGGACAGAACGTCGACGGCGGTTATAATTACTATACGCGCGATCTCAATTTAGCTTAGAAATGGAATGACTTTACACTTGGATACTGTTACCTACCGTTTTTCGCCTTGTAAGAAAACCACGAACCGCAGCCTGGATTTTGATAGCACTGCTTTCCTTTTTGCGTTCCAATTCGCGACGTTTTCGCTCTTCCTGTTTCTGCCGAAGCAGCTCATCGCGGCTCTGAAATGTATTAAATATAGTAATGCCATTGGTTAACAGACATGCCTTAACTCACATGGCAACAGTCGCACTACACAGCATAAATCTATTTCGACCTGGAGGTGTTCCACGATGCTATATTAAGGCTTCTATGCGTCCATAAAAATAACATTTTTCCAGAATTCGTGAATGTTATGTATATGAACAAGCTTTACATGTAAAAAGAACAAGCCGGTGAGGACATTAAAAAAATCTACGAGCGAAAACAACCGTTTGCGTATATACATACACACGTGTTATATATATTACGTACATATATTATAACTGCCTGACACATCATCAGGACTGAAAAAATCAATCACACAATTTTTGCTTTACAAGGAATGACGTTGACAGAGAATTTTCCTTTCTTTATGAGTAGGAAACATGCAATTTCAATAGTGAGCACAGCTAAAGCTGAACTATTACAAATCTCTTTTCACGCATTTCTAAATTATCTAAAAAATTGCCGGTTATATTTTATTAGACGCTAACGAGACTGTAAATGAAAAATTTCTGAAATAGGACTTATATGTGTACAAGCAATGAAGTTGTAGTTGCTCCACGTATTTGCCAGGTCTGAGTCAGTTGCGGTTCAGTTTCCCAATGTATTCTCTATATTTTGGTCAAGGTACCTTGCTCAGCCTCGATAAGCACTCGCAGTATCGCGAGATGACCCAAAATGGTTCCAAGTGGGTAAAAACAAATAACGATTATCCGCTGATAGTGCATTAAAGTCACTATCTGTTATATCACATAAGTTATGCGGTAGTACAGGTAAGTTTTTTGTTAACTGTAATTCCTTAAGTACCTTTAATATATCACCACTCTATTATATGCGATTCGTTTTCCAAGAAACACGAATTTTGTCACATCGCCTGGAAGTTGTTGCATTCTGGACAAACTTAATCTGAAACTTATGGGTGTCTATTCTGATATCAATTCAATTATTGCCTCATAGAATAGAAATCTTTTCACAAGATACACACAAAAGTCCAATTATTAACAAGAGGTCCATCTTAACTTTCCGCTGTACAAAGCAAGATGTTTGTTTAATTGCTACTTCAGTGCATAATGTATGTATACCGCAGCTGACACGGCAATTTCAAACATAACATTGACATCAATGATGAGCTTATTTGCTGACAACAGCAACAAATTCCATCTGACCATAGCTTGGTTGTTACCGTGGCTGATAAGACGGCATGCAAACTGTGCATGAATACATACTATGCATTAAACTGTCACAACAACCTTTACTGATAATCGTATTTACATGAACACAAAGGCTGCCGTGCTTTATGTACATATGCCATAAATATCATTTGCCACTGGGTAAGACAGTGTCATACAGCGTATCATATATCAATGATTACAATTAACAATAAACACTTACCCTTAAAGAATTGCGATTAGCGCCACCGAGTGCCTGAGTGGGCCTCTGACGAAACTCGCCCTCGAAACTGAACATTTTTGTTACAATTACGATTCAACGTCACACCGCTGCACTGTATGTGACTTGTGGGAGCAGTTACTTTGCACAGCTGATTGACGTGAAAGACTGCGAGACAGGGCGCAGGATCACGCTCGCTGGAGCTAGTCACTAACTAGCTAGACCCCCTGTCGCGACAACCTATCGCAGAGCCCGATTTTGTCAACTTCCCTCTCTCTTCGGTACTATGGATGGTTGTGACAGGCATCCAAGTCAGGGTATCCTCATATTAGCGCAGCGGTACTCTTATACAGCATTGGCACGATACGGTTTGCTGTCGGCCAACTTTGGCTCAACTCACTGGACCGTCGACACTGCCGAAACTCAACCTAATCGTTTCTCTGAGCCCGAACAACGGACACAGTTATGTTTGTGACAATAAGATTTAAGCAAAAGGAATTTTCCGAAATCGACAATTAGCAGCAGCAGTAGTCTTGCGCAGCGATCGGTGCAAAGTTTCACAGCAGCCACATCTGGGGACGGTTGATCGCTTAATGGGCCATCAGTAGACACTCACTGTTCATCTCAGCATTACACATCAACTACTCCACACACACCCCCTGAATTCTGAACACTATCCGCTTAGTACAGGATAATCCTAGAAGACCAAGATCGCCGAGAACAACCCTGTCTTTCTCTAATCACTAGATTTAGCGGATCGCGAAAATCCAGAAAATTACGGCAAAGTGTTGTATCACTAGTAAAAAACAGGCCTCATCCCATGAACCGGTTTCATGCTTGTCTACACAGAACGCAAAAAGATTTTTAGGGATATTTTTTTACAACTGTGCTGTTTTAAGTGACGAGGTGATACCTTGAGAACAAAACATTTAGCATCGCCTAGCGGACAGTAGCCCGCCAAAGCAATTGTTTATAAAAGTTTACAGCGGCGCTTTCGTAGCTCGGCGCTCAAGAAGCGGTCGTAGATCTATACTAAGGCGTTCAGTAATACTTCAAGTCTTCGAAGTTTTTTTTTCTATCTAGCGAGAAACACAGAAATGTCTGGAGGATTTTCGTTTGGGACGCCCGCTGCGGGAACCGGTAGGTGCTTTTTCAGTTGACATTTTAATATTCGATGTCTCACGCTAGATACGTGCTAACGATATCAAGTTGCGTCGTATTACCTAAGAAGTTATAGTATGATATGTCTATCGGTTTGAAAAAGACGTCCAGCAAAGAGATACAAATATGAGAAATTGCTAAATCTAAATTACGATAATCACTACGGCAAATGTACTTGAATTCTTGATTTTAGATGTCAATAAAATCATGTCTGCATAGCGAAACATTCGAAACTGAGGCCGGATAACAGGACGACCACTAATGGATAACGTTTTTATTTCAAATATCGATAATTATAAGTAATTTTTTCTACACGCATCATATACGTGTTCTCGGCAAGATTTTAGCAGTACTGATAACTTGACCGCGTTAATAAAGAAATTTCTGTGAACATTATGTGAAGTATGCATCCAAATTTTGGTAATGGCATGTGAACTGATCTCAAACTATATTAGTTAACAACAAATACGCATATCTGAAATATTCACACATTTTGCAGTTTAACTTATCCTTTGAATTACATATTTATTGGCTCTGATATATAGTGTCGAATGACTTTACTTTGGAAGTTATTTTGAGACAGTAGTAAGTTTTCCGCACCGTGTCCCTCTCAGTTGCTTTAACATGGATGAGCGTTCATTCATACTTGAATCTGAACTGTGCTTGGTGTATAGGAACATAGCACAAAAAATGTTTCTTTAAAGGCAGGCTGACATCGATTGGCAAGTTTACTGATATGTAACACCGTCAAGTGTCTTTCTAAGTTAAAAAGTACATAAATGTAAGACGAATATATAAAAAAAATGTTGGAGTTACGTCTTGCATATATCGAACATATACTACGTATCAGACGAATGTGAGCATGCGTTGGCAAACCTACTGATACAAAAGGGATTAGCCCGAGTGTGAAATAAAAAAAGAAAAGTGATTTTAACATAGCCAGTGCGTCTTTCTTAGTTTGAAATCGCTACCTGACATTTCGATATATTTTCTTCATTTTTGGTACAGAACAATGGAAATGTTTCGAATAATGGCAAACGTATGAAATGTTAAACACACTAATTGAAGGTAGCTCGGATTTTAGCGATAAAATCCAGATTAAAAGTCTACCATTTTTTAAAACATTTCGTTCTGAGGTTAAAAGGATAGGACAGTTGTGAATAAACGGGTAAAAAACAAATAATTGTGGAGGATTCATACAAGAAGTGTTTTCTATGGAACCACCTGACCATTAACATTTTTTATTGGTCAAAGCATGTGTGGAAGTCTGCCTCATTTCTATTACTCAGCTGCATCCGTATTACATAGTTTGATTTATTTACAGAAAAATATAAATTGCTAACTTGTATTCTTCGCTCTAACATTAATGCCGTTCTTTGCAATCACCTGATTTTGGAAAATGCATGTTCCATTAAAATGAAATCTTCTAGACAGTCTGCAGCATAGATTGTCCGTTGTGGCTTGTCTTCAAAGTCGTTACTTTTAGTTATGTCTTTACAATGCATTTACAAATCTTTCTGTTGATTTCACTTTGCCGCTTCTGTACTAGGTGGAACCGGTACCTCCGGCTTTTCGTTTGGGAGTACTGCTACTTCCAGCGCGCCCACGACAGGTTTTTCATTCGGTTCTCCAGCGACCAGCACTGCCGCAACGCCGTTTGGCGCCACACCTGCCCCGACAATGACGGGCGTTGGTGCGCCAACAGCATTTGGAGCTACACCTGCTACTCCAGCTGCCACTGGAAGTACTCTATTCAGTACTCCGGCAGCTGGAGCCACGCCGGCAACAGGATTCGGTACAGTGACCGCGCCAGCTGCAAGCTCGGCACCGACGCTCACCTTCGGAGGAGCTCCCACATCGACTCCTGTTGCCGGCTCTGGTGTGACTGCCCCCTCCACTGGATTTGCTTTCGGTGGAGCAACTGCAAACCCTGCGACCTCAACGGGTCTCGCGACGCTCGGGGGCACCGGCAGTAGCGGAATATTTGGCGCGCATCCGACTGCAACACCAGGCATGTTTGGAACAACGACCACACCCGCAACTAGCAGCACTCCGGCGTTTGGCGCCGGCTTCGGTAGTGCGGCCGCAACAACAACAAGCACAGCGTCGACAGGCATATTTGCCGCTAACCCGACTGCAGGCACCTCTGTTGCAACTGCGACTTTCCCGTCCGCCCTAGGTAGTGGAAGTGGGACCAGCGGTGGGTTTGGCGGTACGGGCACGGCAGGACAGCCTCCTCCTGGGGGACAACAACAGCAAGGCGTAACCTTGACGACGTGCGCGCTTGGCAGTATGACGTTTGAAGATCTCGAAAGAAAGTGCAATGAATGGAAGAAAGAACTCGACATCCAAGAGGAAGCCTTCCTCAAACGAGCCACGCAGATCAACGCATGGGATCGTCTTGTCTCCGCCAACTCGGAGAAGATCACCGAGCTTAACGAATATATGAAAAAGGTCTGCAAATGTGATATTGAAGCGATATTTATAGAAGTAGAATAATACTGAGCCACTATTAGCGGGTGTCCAAATAGAATTCTACCGATAAATGCGAACGAGAATCGGAAATAGTCAGGTAAATGCACCATAGAAATGAGTAGTAGCGAAGTTTGGCTGATTGAGTTAACAACCGTGAAGTAATGTAATGTCCATGGACTAGTCGCCACATTTTGACTTTTAACACTGGTAACTGTAGGACCCCAGAGGGTGCATGTATCTCGTTATTACTATTCTGCTGCTTGTTTGTTGCCATCCCTATCAGCCGATGCTCGCTTACTTTTAATACATACTGTTTACATAATCAACTTCAAATTATTTCTACTCCTATCGCTGCACATTGCTATAGAGCACACGTTACATTTTTGATCTACGTACTCTGATGGTATTGTAGGTGAGGCAAGACCAGGAACGTCTGGATCGCGAGCTGGACTTCGTGGTTTCGCAGCAAAAAGAACTCGAGGAAATGCTGGAGCCTCTCGAGCAACAAGCCAAGACCATGGAAAGCGCTTCGATTCAACATCATACGGACGTTGAGAGGGCGTCAACGTATCAAACAGCAACGAAAGTCAACAACCAACTCCGCATGATGGCCGAGGCGATTAAGGAGATCATCGAACACATAAACGATAGCAACAAAGCTGCCAGCGACAGCTCCGCGGTAGGCACTGAAATTTGAAATGCTATGCAGTCTAAGCCCTACGTCGGAATTAACAGTTTCTGCACTTCCCACTTGTTTGAGCCGACGGTCATTTTCCCAACCCATTGTTACCTAGTTATAGTAATCTACTTTTTTTCGTGGTTGTCCTAATGTAGGCAAGCTATAGTATATCAAAATCAAGTGCGATTAAGGACGAGACTGCTTATGAAAGTGAGCCTATTAGAACTTCATGCGTCGTCTAAATGTCAAATAACATCAATGTATATGTATGTTGGTTCGTTTCGCAGATGGACCAGATCTCAAAAATTCTCAATGCGCACATGGACGCACTGCAATACATTCAAAGTGGGATTGGCACGCTACAGGAGAAGACTGAGGATATCAACAAGCTTATGGGGATTGTGCGGATTTGAGTCCAGATAGATAAATTATAGATTTGCTGATCCGGCTGTACCGGATGCAACTGCAGACAATTCGTTCGTGTCAAGCTTGTTACAGATTCTACTCACGAAACTTATTGTTAAGAATAATAATAATAAACTATTATTAATGATGTTATCTCTGCATAGACACATTAAAAGAAAACCAGTGGCAGTTATTGCAAATGTTTGTCGATGCTTGAAACATATCGATGTGACACTGATTGAAGAGAAAAAACGGACAGTGTGTCGATTTATTTTACAGATGGACTAGTCCAAAACAAGGACTATAAAGTAGTAAATAAAATGAGAACAGTAATGTCTATAGAGAAACACATGTACGTGATGCATAAAATTTTTTAGTAACGATTTATTTGCGCGCGTCTTAATAGTAGCAATAGTTCAAGTTGCATTAGTTTGTATTGCAAAATTTCCGCAAGTTTCTACGGTTGTTTGATTCTTAACCAGAGATTGTAAACTAATCTAGAAGCTTCCAATTTGGTGACGGTTGAGTGGTACTGAGCCAGTTGAAATCGTCTACCCTGAAAAAATTGTTTGTTGACCTGTCAAGACCCGATCGAGACCACGAATTTTCGCTAGCCGAATAATCTGATGGAAGCGAACCGAATTTAATGTTGTGGCAGTCCTCTATGATCGATCTGAAATTCGCAATACGCGGAGGAGGGCATACTCAGAAATCGGATGTGCGTGCTATTTTTTAATTGATTCGTTGGTGCATACTAAGTAAGGGACACACACATATATACATTATATATGCGTGTATGTGTGTTCTTTGTTATTACTTAGATGTACTGTCGAATCAGAATATAATGCATATATTTCAAACAAATGTCAATGCAGTTTTATATGGAGTTTCAGCTTGAATCTCTGCACTGTCATTAAATCTAGCTCTGACTAGGTTTCGGGTAGATCGTATTTTAATTTAAAGCAAGGAGTACCTGGAAGTGATATGCAGCCGAAACGTTGCTTCGGTAGCTTTGTGGACGCGTAACTGTTGGCAAGCCACCTGTAGGGAACTGCCATGGAAACCAACAATAAGTACTGAATTTGCCACTGGATCGCAGATCAGCGTAGAGTCATGTACGTCGTTCACATACAGCGTGCTCGGCCATCCTCGAATTACGACTCGACACTTTTCGAGATCGTTTAGCTCCACCTCTCCGTGAACATTATTCAACTCCAAGTTTTCGCCACGCTTGCCTTCCAAGGAAAACGTCGCATTAGCCACACTCTTAACTCTATCTCCAGCGCTACTTGCTGCACCTGGCTGTTGTAATTGTGCCTCTGCAACTTTCGCCTTTTGCTCGGCTCCTTGCAACCTTTCCGAGTGAGCGTCCTTCATGGCTTTACTAAATGCGAATCTTTTCTTAGGCGCCTTGATATCGTCAAGCTTTTTTTTGTAGTTTTCGATTCGTTCGCGATATGTTTGCAGGTCCCTAGATGGCAGTACGGCGGCCTGCGAATTTACCAACGTCTGCAACTCTCGGATGAGTATGCGTGATTGGTCGATGTTTTTCTCGGAAAGCGCCATATCAACTTTAGTCGCCTGTTCTGCGAACAATGTGAACACACGGTATGACTCCGAGGCGGACACCATTTCGACGTAGCTGTAGGTCCGTTTACCAATAACGAATTGGCGTAGGCGTAAACGCTCAACGGGATGATGCTTGCTGATCGTTACGAAGACAATCCTAATGGTTGTCGATCAAAAGGCTCCAGAAATTGGCGCCCAGGACTCACTACTTTAACATGAGCAGCAGTTCTACCTACTAAGAAATTCATTTGATATTGCTGTATCTAAAAATCTTTCATGTTTTTATGTATTATACGTACAAATTCAGTAAAAATGCCGCAGCAATCTCTCTGGTTATTTTCGGCGGGTAGCCCATGTTATCTGGTCAAACTCTCGTACCGTTGAGTTACCTAGCCGTTCGCCTATTTGGTAATAGTACTCGAGGACAGAAGGGTAATTTTCGCTAATCCAGTACCGGGTTTCTTGATTGTGGTTTAATTGCCGATAGGCATAGTAACAGCCAAGGAAGCATGTAAGTTCTATACCTGCTAGAAACGCAATTCCCTTCCCGATCCTTTTCTTTCCAGAAATTCCTATAAACGGCTTGACGAAACCGAATCCTCGGGGATGTTTTTTCAGCATTGGCTGAAATGCAAAGATAGAAATATTACCCCTAAACACATTGATATAACACTATATGAAAATCTATGAATCAAAATAATATGATCTTCCTAATGGGAATTCTATTGTAAAAGGTAAAAATGATTTGAACTTACTACGAGAAAGTATACCTGTAATGTACGAAAACTGAAGAACTTGTCACAAAAAGTAATCGTAAATACCGGCTAATCTGACAACGCATATCTGTTGCATTCATAGGCCTAGCTATTTTGTGAAAACCGGTCATATTAGGTGTGCTCTTTGTCTCAAATTGACATATTTTGTTTTCTCTCAAAATCAAAATTAAGCAGTATGCTTTTGATTGGTTCAGTGATTTGACTGCACTACTTTACCCGCGTGATAGCCGTCAAAGAAATCTTGTAATGAGGCTGCGCGATCTGCTATATCGATAAGTGATTCTAAATAGTGCCGTTGTAACTACAAACCATATAGATACAACGCCATACAGTACATAATGCTACCATTCAAACCGAAATCAAATTCCTTGTTAGCTAGTCAAATCTATCCGACCGGTTAAAGAGATGCTACGTATAAGCTACCAATCATATGACAAAAAAAGCCTGCAGAGCACTGACATAAAACGGGCAGAATTAGTTCGGTGTGACACCAATGCTGCCAGGGTTCGCTAATGTTCAAATGCGCTAGCTAAAATATGAGTCTACTACTCACCGCCTTTTTGCTGGATGCGTTTCGTCTCGCCAATGATCGTCGTGTGTTCAATGGCAGTCGGTAAACAGGTGTGGAGTTCTGCTCTGGAGACCGCCCCACTCCAAAAGCAGTCATATAGCTGTCGTCTGCTTCGCACATAAATAAACAGAATCAACTGTATTTACTGTTTTCAAGATTCAGATCTGGTGAAAGCTAGTCAGGCTAACCAAAAAGAATTTTGAAATCCAATTTTATTTTGAAAAGCAGACTTTGCTATAGGGAAAGTAATTGTGCATACTCCTCCTGATATCAATTATTATTATTGGCCCGGTAATCAGTGAAAGGTTTGGTGTACCCAGAGATTTTGCAATTGAAAGTTGGTCATGTCAGAATACTTTGTATCGGAAGGAGCCCTCAAGCTAAACGGATTTAAAAAGTAGGTAAAAAAGAGATGTAATTATGCTCTTTATGGCTGCACGTAGCTTTTGATCGGCTTAATAGTTTGTGTCTCGATTAATTTGATTTTATTCTAATTCCGTGTAAAATATTATCACTTAGAAACATTGCTAACCTATTCGATGTGATACTTATTCCGATCTAGGATAATCTAGCTCACAGTTAGTGGCATATTGTTACCATGCCGTTTCATAGGTCTATTAGAGAGACACCCAGAGAAATGCAGTAAGACTTACAGATTGAATAGATTCATCGTATAGAGAAGTTTATAATGGGGTCGATACTTCGCAATGTAGGCTTGCTCTTTGTGGGTTCCCGTGGGGAACTAGCTTAGGCCCAATTAAGCTGTAAACTCTTTTCTTGATAACCCACACAGTAGTATTTTAAGGTAAAGATCTAAGAAGATTAAATATTTAGAAAATATAAGCAAGTTAGAAGATGTCATTGTTATTAGGGGAAATGTGCTTTCTTGAACCTCAGATTAGAGACCGAAAGCTACTAGCACGAATCAACTTTCAAAGCGATTAATTTTTTAACTATTATACAGTCGCCCATATGACAGTTTATCAATCTGCCTATTTTATTACACAGAAAAAAAAAGAAAAGCAAGAAATCAAAGGACTCAAAGAACCTTGAAGCTCACATGTCACGCACCGACCACCACTCGACAGATGAAGACAAAAGTGAAAACGTGGCTAGTTCAAGTAGCTTAAGGCAGTCAAAGGAAGGCCCTCGCCTAATTACCTGCCAACTGACTAAGGCTCAAAGAACCTTCAAAAAAATGCAAGAGAAAAAGAAACTTGAAAGGGTAAGCGTTTACGCATTAACTTTTTTTTAACATGCCGAGTATTAGTAGACATTAAATAAATTTAAATGAGCCTGAAGTGCAATTTACGGAAATAAAAATAGGCAGTGAAAAACAACATTATATGTATATATATACATTAGTGGCTGTACAAGTAATAACAATGGTACTTTCTATTGGAACGTGTGCGGGGTGTTTCGAGCATCTTAGGCCAATGTTTAGACACACGATCGCTTTTCAAGCTTAAAAATGCATCCTGTGTAAGGAGAGAGCAATTCTGAAAATTTACAAAGTAGTGGACGAGTACTATACAATATAATGACAGAATTTTAAACGTTTATAATTTTACTAAATACAATGGTTATTTCTATGTGGTTATCAGCAAAAGAAATCCTAATAGCGTTTTAATTGTGCTTAAAATTTCTGATTTATTTAAGATAATGGAAAAAGCATCGAAAAGTCACCGACAAAGAGTGGAGGAGTTTAATGCAAAGCTTGACAATCTCAGCGAGCATTATGATATCCCAAAAGTATCCTGGACTAAATAAGTTTTTACTGCTCATCCAGGCTTTATCATAACGCTGGTCGCAAATTGCAAACACATTCTTTCATCCTGTACATAGTCATGTACTTTGAATAGGCTAATGTAATATACATGTACAGAATATATCATCATCGACCTCCGTCAATAAACTGTGTCAAATAAACTAAACAAAAATCATATTAGCGTATTTGATGGTTCAGAGAAATTGTATATATATATATATATATATATATATATATATATAGATTGTTTTATTAGCTATTATTGTATATAAATATACTGCTACACTTAATTGACAGAATATATATCGTTTTAAGAGGAAAAAAATATCTACATTCAATTTGTTTTTATTTTCCTTTATAAAGTTTACTAAAAACGTTATTTTTTCTATATTCTATTTGAATAACATTAGACACATTTTATCCTGCAAAACAACATAATAAAAGAAACCCAAACTTCTAGCAGCGAAGCCTTAGCATTAGGATAACCTTAAGATTTTGGACTTCATTTGTGACCAAAATTCGATTCCTAAGTGCTGCATATACTATTCGTTTTTCGCGTGACATCATAAACAACCCACTAAATTTTTGGTGGACTTTTATCTGGCGAAAATTTATCCTATATAAGTTCACCCAAATAAGCTCTGGCTGACTGTGTTTCTCATTGTTTTCATGCAGTAAAGTTAGTATCTATCATAACATTGTATTTTAGTGTTTTGTTTCTAATATTTTTAGTATTTTAGCCGTGAAGAAGTTCATGTTCTAATGTCTAATGAGGCACTTGCAGCGATTCTAATAAGCTGACTTTATTAAAACAATTGCCGATTTTTGCATCTTTCAGCGACTTATAATCATTGAAATGATCTTCATGGCAGGGCCAGTATGGCTCTAAATAAAGCAATATTTCCAATATAACCGATTTCAAAGTTTTTTTTTTCATCGACGTGGCCCATTGCCATTTTTATAACATTATCTGTGCTCAGTGTGGGACGTTTTCTAAAAGTACCTTAACGAACATTTGGGTGAACTGGACAAACAGTTTGCTTTAGACATTTTAGTACTTGTTGAAGTCGAAGTTATGAGGATGCGGGATTATTAATGTCATTAGTAGATATATGTGTAACATCATTGAATACTATTCGTTTGGTAGTCTTCGATGGTTATAAAATACTTTGCTTGACTCACGGGACAGCTTGTTTTACCTGGTTTCACGTTTGCTGCACTGTGACCCACACAGCACAATAGTTCACCACAATAGCACAATAGGTTTTTGGCCTTCATGACGGTTTTTTTTTACTAGTCAACTTTTTTAAGTTCTTGCAACGCTATAATTTTTAAGTAGTAATAGTTATTCCATTTTAGTAATCAATCCGTTAACACAGTAGTATACACCTAAATCGCGAAGGATCCCTATTTTTGGGCACGTACTTTTTGTTTACCTGTTTTTACGTGATTAATCCATTTATTCTCGAAGGCCGCAAAAGGATGTCAGAATGTTGTGTTGAATTCTCAGCGACTTATCGAGAACCGGTAAACTCCGAACTGCCCAAATTCATAGGTTTTTCCCGGGCATGCGTATACACTATTAACAAAATTTTGATGAATTTATTGCAATTTACGAATTTTGCTAACAGATTTTGGGTCTGTGCGTATTAAGTCCCATGGTTAGCTCCAATTGAATGTAGGTTCCAAAAAAAAAGTATTTTTACGAACAGAAGAATGATAGTCATTGAATAAATCCTACGAACTAGCGTAAGTGCTGCTGACGGCAACTGTAATTTTAGTAATATTAATCTTCAAGTTCGAACTGTAATAGATAAATCATAAAGTTTGCCTGGAGAATGCGCTGCCTACATAGCCTTATCCACGACCAACTTCGGCAAGACATATGCTTGGCCTGTTACGTAACCTATATACCGGACTATTAAGAAATATAGTTATGGTACAAAGGGTCGTATGTCGTATAACATATGCAGAGAGGTACTAGACCTACGGAACAATCCCTTTATAGATGGTGCACAAAATTTTATAATTAGAAAATCTTCTACAGTTTTTTTATGTACTTATTTTTGCTCAGGTTTTTACAGAGGACTAGCATACTGCTGTGTAAAATTCAAGCCCGTTCCTTTTCCATAATGAACATAATTGTATACTACAAATATAGCTTTGCATTATTAAATTTATATTATATTATTAAAATTAGTTGAACTCAGTAAATTAATCTCATATTTGATCCGCTTTGTTTTCCTTATTGTGTGAACCGAACTATTATTTAATTTGATGTTTGCCGCCGATTTCCTGTGCACCGTGTCGCCAGGGTTATCATCATGCGGTTTCACCACAACTCATGATCACTTCATTGATGGGTTTAGAAAATTATATGAACTTTTGTGATTCATACAAATTATATAGTACTCATCGTTGTCAGGATTAAAAATTTGAAACTATTGGCTTGAAAGGACTCCTATAAATGAGCTGTAACGTTTCCTGGCAAATGGCACAAATTGACGTAGTAAAGAATCACATCGTAACCAATAAAAATCCAAAATGGCTTTAGCTTGGTAATGTTGCGGCTTCGTTTAACTGGCAGCTTGAAAGCCATTGTCGTTTTAAGCGGCGTGGTGAGTCAGCTAGTTCTTATAGCATGATTTTCTGTTGAAAAAAGCACTGCAAAGCCCAACCCGAAATCCCGGTTTGGTCGAGTAGTCACGATTTTCGGCATTCACTTAATTGTTTTCGTTAGTTTTATGCAGGGCTAATTGGGTGTTGGTTTATTACTAGCAAGCAGCCAATAATAGAATTAATTCCCATATATGATTCGGATTATTACGTAGCGTCAACTGTTACATAAAGCTCTGAAAGGGGGTGTGAATGTTAAGCTCTTGACATGAGACCTTGTATATGTAGGGAGTGGATTCTAGTTCTGCATAGACTCACTGTGTGTAGGTACAATATCTATGCAAAAGTATACATACTGCAGGTATTAGGTGCAATAACTCTGTAGGTAACGATGAGACCTAAATAACGACATCTAATCGTTATCGGAAAAAGTCGTTATTTCTGCTGTGTTGTGTCGGAACACAAAAAACGGTAAAAACATACAGTGCCAAAAAAACTGTGAAATTGTTTTCTTAATACGAAGAATACTTCCATGATTTTTATATACATTATGGGCACAAACGGTTGATAACTTACACTCACTGATTAAGTTAAAGTTGCTCATTCCTACTTAGCTGTATCGAGTCATCCTTTTATATTTAAAGTAGAGCTATGCGGAGAGCTCATACGTTCATCAAAAAAATGTGACATATCATATTCGGTAAGTTATTTAATACCAGGTAGAGCTTTCAATTGGTTATATGGAAGGTGGAGCGCATTTTAGTGGAGTATTACTAAAGCTATAGAAGTATATAGAGATGTAAGGTGTGTTTGAAATGAGCATACTGTTAGGAGGTTAAATGGAAGGAAACTAGAGGCGTAGATCTCTTGGCAAAACTCTTGACAAAAGCTACGGAGCCCAGGAATCAACCCAAACGGTTGTTTCCGTACAAGTTAATAATTGAGGCAAAGTTATCATATTTTACGTAATCTGATTTTTCTGACATCTGAAAAAAAGGGTACAATTTATTTTTTTAAATTAAATTAAATAAATTGAAGTTTTGATGTTTTTTTCAAATTCTACGTAGAATAAATAAAATTACAGGCACTCGCGGATCGATTTTAGGTCGGGATCTATTTGAGCATTATCATAGCAATTTGTAGAGAAAGACCTAAACGTTCGCGCCAAGTTGCTATGTGATCTATAATAAATATTGTGCCTAAAATAAGTCTCGAGTTTTAATTCCGGAACGTGTTTCAGATAAATTCAGAGCCTCAGCAACAGCAGGAAGCAAATGCGAATGGAAACCTTGTGTCTCAGAAGCTAGTGTTACACTTATGCAAATTTCAGTCTCTATTTAAAAAGGTGGAGATGTAACCTCGGCGGACCTAATACACATCCAGGGTTAGCCCGATTTGATGATCTATTACAGTACTGTTTAAATATGTGCCATCAGACACTTGAATTACTTCTTTCGCTCCTGTATCACCGTGTCGTTATATGTCAAGTTGCTCGCAGTGATAGGTCATGTCAGTGCAGCTTTCCTGCAGGTATTTGATGGCAGACTGATCTAGTTCTACCAAAAAGCACAGTTAGTATGAACTGGCTTAATAAATAGAAAGCCATTATGCTCAGCAGTCACAGCCAGATTACTAAAGTTACGAAGACAAGCTTAAGGAGCACTTTTAACACTATTCTCATCCTCAGATCTTTAAAATTAAGCGTCGCTGATGAAGTTAAGCTGTTGGCACTATAGTGTCAAATCAGTAGCTTTCACACACAGCAGACTGTTTTTATGAGCTATAAGACGATCATGCGCGCCAATCTTTTGATTCGAAGTGCAGACACGTATTTCTGACTAATTACGTAATTTGTCATTGATTGTATGGTTTATTCTTGTATACACGGATAACCAAGTCTTTCGACAGAACGCAACTATTGATAATCAGCTGCTTCGGTATTAATAGTTTTCGAAATGGAGGTAGCTAAAAGCATACTGCTAGATGCTGAACGTTTCACTAGGCCATTCTTATATGAAGTGATTTTAGCAAGATAAATTCATTATGGCTCGGATTTATCTAATATGTACGTACGATACAATGCAATGCACTTACTGATCCTGCTGTCCGCACTATCGTAGCTGATATTACGGCAGCTCGGTGACTAACTGGTCAAAAACTTTAAACAATGCGTAATATAGGACTATAAAACCATGGCACTATACCCGTTGATACTCTATACAGACACATAAAACTACTCCAAATTATTGAGCTTTATTTGCTATTGTATACAGTTGCTTCTTATGCATAATCTCTTGATTCCATAATATACGAGATAGTTTCTGGACATCAAAACTTCTTTGTCAACGCTTCCTTTAGTACTTGTTATTTAAAAAAAAAACTTTTTTTGATGATGAAAAGATAAGTATGTCTCCATACATTATTACACCTGTATCCACCTGTTCATTTTAAATATATATTAGCATAGTTAATACAGTATGCCTGTTTGCGCCTTTATGTTAAGCTCACGCAGTGGTTGCGTGACATAGTGCATTATAGAATACATATTAATATTGACCTAGAGTCTATATATTACTAAAATCTATGTCCAAAAATGGTCTTCAAAGAATGGTGGCTTCAATAAGATATGTTCGTACCAATAGATAGCTTAGAGTAAACTGCGTCTTAAGCTTTACTGGCCCGTTCCATCCTTTTTCAGGATGAGACTTCTGTTTTAATTTCAACAGGATAATTATATCAGTTTTAAGCGATTTCATTTTGCATAAAGTTTGAATTATCGGAAGAAATGTTTGGACTTCTTTAGCTTTTCTTTACGATTGACAACTGAGACAGCGCTTTCTAAACGAAAAAAGTAGAGAATCTGCGAAGCATTTCTATATAATGACTGGGAAACCGATGTAGATGATGGACAAAATAACAGTAAAAGGTTCTCGGAACGATAACCACACGTTACCGGGAATGGGCTTATTGCAACAAAGTAAAGAGATTACTGAAACATTGCAGTGGATTAAGACCGTTAGAACAACGTCACTGTAACAGAACAATACATTAGACTGGAAGTTAGCCGTTACATAAAGTCGGATAAAAGAAAAAGTTGCATCGGCGCAATCGAGTCGCTGACACAAGGTTTTCCTGGATAAACGGGAAGTCAAGAACTATTGGAGCTGAACACCGGCAGCGGAATGACGAACTTAGTATAACGGAATCTCAAGAAAATGATAGCTGCAGAGGAATTGATCTGCAATCCAACTATATGAAATATATATTATATTCAGGAACAACAGTAATAAGCAAATTTCGTTAATATAGGACAAGCTGATAAAATAACCGCCGCAAGATCGTTGGACCACGTCGGTTGAGGAACGTGGTAGGTGGAGCAGGTTAATTGAGGCACGATCTATTAGTTCGTGCCTAAACTATAATTTACGTTTAGTTGCATGTGACATCGAGGAATTAGATTAGTTAAATCAACGGCACAATGAGTGCAAGGCAAAGTCTGACTCTGTCTAACCCTGTCTATCCGTTTCGCGGTCTCAATTCGTTTTCGTCCTCCCGCTGCTACCGCGGCCGCGGACCCCGCAGACCTTCTGATGTTTACTGTAATTGATGTTTATTATTATTATTATTATCTACCGCACTAACACTCGCTGCTTTTCGCTGCGTTCGGCGAAACCCTATAATACGTTGTGGGCAAGTCGTCCGAAAGCTTCGTTCATTACATCGTAATACCAATACTACCGACGTACCCCCTGATAACGGCACGTAGTAGTCCTGACTTCTTCACGCTTACTGTAGCCATGGGCCATACGAAGCTGTTATGATTTTTTTTCGTTGCTTCTCTTTGTTTGTCGACTAGTAGCAGTACTCACTGGGCGAGTGAAGGGAGAATTAGATGTGGTTGCCATTCTACAAATGGTTATAGGTTTTCGTTGGCCGCTTATTCAACTGGGTGGTCGATTGCGTCAGCAGTAAAATGAGACCTGTACCAGCCGGAGCATTAAAACTTAAGCACCTAACTGAGTGCAGCATCCGCATATTTGCCATTCGCTATATCTGCGGCTATTTGTACTGCTGCTGCAGGGCTGCGAAGATCGTGGCCAGCGTCGGGGAGTCGCAGGTGGGGGGTGACGACGGACGGGAAGCTAGGGGTAAACGTGTCTTGCTTCGGATGTGTTCCAGTTCATTTTTCGAATGCGGATTCCAGCAACAGCAGCCACCGCAGGGGAAGCAGACGTACCACTGCAACGTGGTTGAGCTTATCAGGCACAGACACTCACATGAGGCCCATGACCAGAGACGCAAGACATGTTTGCAAATAAAGCCATATATAGGTCGAGCGATCTACACTATGGTCCTATATGTTCACATAAAAATAGTTATTGCAAGAAGCATATATATATATATCTACGGGCATCTATAGTAATGACGCAAAGCACCATTTTGATGTGCTGTTGATCTATCGTGTACATTGGGTTCGTAGTACTATAAAATCTAGACAGCGACGGACACGGCATAGGTGAAGAAGCCACGAAATTGTAGGAAAATTGCATTTCATTCAATCATCATGCCGGCACGACTGTCAATGAATCTGTTCTATTGTATTCTATATGAAAAGATGCGTGCTGGCAATAAATTATGACAAATAATTCTATAAAGCATTATAGATCGATGCCTTCGTCCGGGTTCGAGTCAGCTACCGGCCATCAGCGAACGTCAAGTAGACCGAAGTCAAAAATGATTCTTATTGTTAGAGGGAGAATACCGGCGGTAATCTATTCGCCAGGCAAAAACACTATTATTATTTTTGCTAAATGATATCAAATTAAATAGGAACCGTTGTTCCTGTCAGTTGATTATCGTAACGTCGCGAGGTAGAGCATGCAGCTGATATTACAAAACAGGTCGTATGCGCTCGATTAAGAGCTTTTTTCTTTCTCGGTAGAGAAAAAAGGGTCACTTTTTCGTAACGTGACTACCAGCGAACTTGGGCTAGAAATGTTTAGAAAACTTCCTGAAAATCATTCCTGTTCGTTTTGGGCGTACGCCATCATTGAGTACCAAGTAAATGTTGTTCGATTTTCTCATCATTAAAGATTAACTACTATTCATTTCCCGTAAGCATTCCGATCGTACCTGCCGTTGAAATTTATCAGAAACTCTTATAGGATATGGCTTGCTCGTAGAAAAAGTATCTGCGCATTTGAAATGTTGAATTTATCTTTGTAGTGGGATTCTCTAATCCATTCGGTTAAGGTTTCATTAGAAAGACTACGGCGTACAAACAATAAAGGCTCATATCTGTCCCGTGGAAATGTAGGAAAAGCATTCTCGTAACATTAAAAGGTTCGAAAAATGTTGCTATCGAATATCTGAAAAATCCACATCTAGACATTAGCAATAAGTAAATTTAACTTATCAATAAATACAGCAGGGTAATAATTGTTCGCATTCTTCCTACGTGCACCCTATATTTGGTGTTGCAACTACCCGACGAACGTTTATCAGCAGTGTAAAAAAAAGTTGAAAACTTCAGTCAATAATGTATTATATTATACACGGCCGTCCTCAACCTGCATCAACGAGCAAATTCTATTTAATTCAATTACAGCTAAAGTGTAACAATTCCCCTTCATAAACATGTGTTGCAGAAGTGAAAAAATAATGGTATTATAAAACGAGGCAAATTTAAGCTGGGAGTAATACTATAGTTAGACTGATGTTAGTCGACCTGTCCATCAAAATAAAGTTGAAAATAAAAGTAAAATAATAATAATTGCTTATTATTTTTTTGGCCTTATTCCTTGGCCCAATATAATTTGTATACGGCAAATGTATCGCCACAGCTATCAACGGATTTGCTATGACGGGCATGCGTCCGCCGAATATTTCGTTAACTTACTATGTGGGTTATAGACATTTTATCCTAATCCACGAACCATTAGACTAATCCACGGATTCTACAAAAATTGGAAAAATCCAAGCACAAGTGTTTGACTGCTGGCCTCAATATCAATATACGTCTGTCTCATATGCTTACCATTATTACTATTATTATTACAGTTATTAATTTATTGCTACATACGACTCTAGGCGAAAAGTGACTAGTGAAATGGACGTCTTCTACCTGTTAGGTAAAGCTTGCTCTAAACGCGACTGTCGGCCATAGCCGTTATAGCGTTGCACGACAACAACAACAACAACAACAACAACGACAACAATGACAGACGATAACATGTCACTGCTATCCAGTAAATTCGCTTTCATTTCATTCTTATTTTTCCTGAGTATGTTCATGTTTGAGCGGAACGCTCATCGCGTCATGTCGCCAATTATTGTCAGTGAAGGTTGGGCCAGGGAGGGGATTCCGGTCAATTTTCTACGAGCAACAACAATAACATCACTCGTCGTTACAATGAAATGCACGAAAATATATATTACTTTCACATACCATCACGATTATTGGGCGTTGTACTGTTACAGCGTTTCAGCGGACCTGGGTTAGTGTGAAGCTTCGATAGCTCCATCCGACGACGGGTACCCCGCCGAAATACAGAAGACATCGACTACGGCAGTGGCGGTGGTATGCTGATGTTTCTGCTAATCGAACTCCCCAAAAAGCAGAACATTCCGTGACCTGTATCTGCTCTGTCGGCTTTTCGATGGTCGGGACGAGCGCCGGCGTACGTTGACCTCTGCCGTTCGCCGCCGCCGCTGCTGCTGCTGCTGCAATTATTGCTGTTACCACAACCATTTTTTGGCAGCAAAGCGTTTCAAAGCCTGATGTTGCGCAATGCCACAGGATCGCCGGTGGCAGCAGCTGCTGACGAACGAGCCTGGCCGGTACGGCCACCATGGCGCCAGGAGTTGTCAGTTCCTTCTCCTGCTGCCGCATCTCGCTGCTTAGCTTGCTGTTTTGTACGTTGTGGCCAGGTTTCGTTCGGTGACTGCGAGTACTGCCGCTGCTGTCGAAGCTGCCCAAGTTGTTGGTGATACGCACTGCTTTCCAGCATTACCATTTGTCCAGCATTACCGTCTTCTTGCCTATGCATGCCCATTTCTAGCCGGTGGAGCTGTAGTTGCATCAGGGTTGGCTGCGTTACATCGCAGCCACACAATCAACGCCTTGGCGGTAGTGGCGGCTGCAAGGCGCAGCGAGCGACTGGCTCGTCATAACAGCATTATGGCTACGGCTGATTCCTTCGGTGCTGTCGCTCGTCCAGTAAAAGTGAGAGAAACAGAGAGAGGAAATGTTTAACGGTCGACGACGATTTCTTTTCTGTGTTCTCTTTTGTGTAGAGGCCCCCGTTGCGTAACAAGTGACCCAGTTTTTGGCGGCCGACGGGCGCCGTCCTGGCGTACTTACCCTCTTCTGCTGCTGTCGCCCCGTCATCGGTGTGCGGTCGTTCATCGCATTTTCCCGTCACATTTCTCTTTTTTCTTCGCTTAAATCTCCCGCTTGAGTTGTATTCAAATCGGGTATATATATTTATCTGCGCAGGTTAGATATTCTTTCCTATTTTTGCTAGATATTGAGAATGTTCGTATGTGTCCATGTCTGCATTCAGGATCCGTAGCTGGTTGGTCTACTCCAAAGAACTCGCTTCGTTCGTTTGGCCGTATTTCACTCATTATCACCGCCGCCGAAGTCGAAGTCGACTTCGTCCGAAACGCGACGCTCGTAACGTAACGCTGTTTTTGCTTATCTTCTTGCCTCGATGCATAGCAGCGGCGGCAGAATACGACTCATCTTCCCGCAATAAATCACAGGTTCGGCTGACGAATCATCCAGTTGGGTGGACGTCTGGAAATGAAGGACAACAAACGAAGAAAAAAGGTGTAAAGAGATATTGTCGTTAACGGTTAAATGTGTTGTCCTGATGATTATGGGGATAACCCATAGAATAATGATGACGGTAATTTAATGGTAGGACAAGTTCTAGCAAATATGGAAATACGAACATATACAATGTAGTACAGCTAAGAGGTAGCATCACATATGATGTACGTACTCACGTATATTACATAACCTATATGGGACTACTCAGAATTCTTTTCTCTTAGTAAACTGCAATTGAGAACACGGTCTAACGTGAGATAGAGGGAATTGTCGGGAGATTTGTATGTCACAAAGTGTGCACTAACCTATCTGTATGTTTTTAAAGTCTAATTAGAATCGCAGCGTGTGATAGTGATATTAAGTGGTGCCAGCTTTAAGCGTCAAAAGATCTGGTCGTTTTTGTGTTGATGTTAATAGATCAAGTCTATTTACTAGATTAGGTATTGCCTATATCCTTGTCCTCTTGAGGCTTAAGCGCCTCGTGAGGCTGGTCCCTTGAAAGACGTGACTATTTAAAGTTTAGCTGAACGGTTTGGACGAAGCAGTCTTTTCGTACGTAACCGATCATTCTCAAGGAAACATGGTAACAAATAACAAAGTAAAGCTGAGATGCTAGAGGTAAAAACAACCTAAATACATTATTATCATGGACCTATACACTACGCTTTACAATTATCTGAATTTCTTATTATAATCTTAATAAGAATACTTGGGACTATAGTAAAAATATACGTGCTCTGCTAGGGAATATTAGGTAGTTATGTGGCAAGCTAAAACTGATAATGAGGACGGTTCGTCATAATCGATAATTTGATTTAACTCAGCATATCAACAACTAGCAAATGCCGATCATTTGCTTTTTCTTGTAAAAATTTGTAGAAAATAACGATCATTTAAGTAATTTCAGGCCTCATTTACAATACGTAAACGATAGTTCAAAACAATTGTGTTGTCATAAAGTTAAAAATTGTTTTTTTTTTTTGACAGTATTTCTATGAATTTAGCTAAGGGCTATATAACTATTACTACTGTGAAGCCGTCTTTGATATCTTCGTATACACCCAAAATAATTAATCGTTCGATGTGTCTATTGACAATGTTTTCTACCCTTTAACTTACTACATCTTCTAACTTTGATACTGTTGGATAAGTAGTCTAGCCTCAATTTACGGCATATTTACCACTAAGTTCAATACTGCTGTCCTATTTAAATCACTTGAACAAAATTCTGTCTTGTTAAATTATGTGCCACTCAATTTACTTGAGAAGAACTAGAAGATTCCAGAACAGAAGGTACAGAAGAAAAAACTAAAAAGACCTTGCCCCCTGCAGTTTTAGCAATGATTAAAAAATCAATAAATGGCTGTAGAGAAAGGAGCAGTTCAAGAAAGTACCAGTCTTCATCTTCATCTTCATCGTAAATGTGACTTAAAACAAACCTACGTCAATAAGAAATTCTTACTTTTATACAGTAAAATGACCAACGTAGTCATCATATAATTAGAATCGTTTTTTTCGACTACTGATCGGATAGTTGGATTTAATATTTATTTATTACGATTATTCAGATATGTAGAAACTATGCAATTGAGAATCGACACTAATTCTTGATAAACAAAGTTTAGGAAAAATCTCGGTGTTTTGATGTGGATCGTTCTTTGCAGGCACCTGTCGTCTAATGAAGAATCGTATCACAACAATCGAGCTGCCTAAATATGAGCACTTAGTGACTCGAAAAGGGCCATTGTGTTGAGAACAACACAAGAACTTATTTCGAAGCCAACCTTCGGGCGTTTCCTTTGAATTTCAAGTTAGTTGATTTCGACTTGATTAAGACGAGCGTACTACCAAGTTTTGCTCACAATTTTTGGTTCTAGCTCATTACAGCTTTGCTGTACACAAGCACATTATGCATACGTATACTCTTAATCCAAATCAAGTCTATTAACTCGAGCTCTGTTAGTCCAGACCGCAATTGGCGGCGCAAAGCTGTCACTGTTTTGGCCGACGATGAACCTGGATTGGAGTCCGAGGTCGTTTAGTTCTCGCCCAAAATCATGATGCATTGCCGCGCAGATCTGCCACACGCCTTTCGTAGCGACTATTACTGCCGTTCCAGTCATTTGTGCCACCGCTGAGTCCATACTTCCGTAGCAGCACCAGCAGCAGCAACAGGGCAAGGAAAACACTTTCGTGGACCATTTTGTGAGAAGAACATTGTTGGTCCTGTTTTCCTATGGTTCTCATACTCGCGTCGTCGCTAGCGGCACCGCTGCAATCGATGCCGTTGACGGTGGTGGCGGTGCTAACTCTCGCCAACGCCGGTCCACAGCGTCGATGCTCACAAAGTCGTTACTGACCCAAACTGTCGAACTACTGCTGGCATGCTCGCTGATTCTTGCTTACCTGCACCGACTACCACCAGCGCTCATCAGCGTTCAGCCACAGCCAGTCGAGAGGATCTTCTTTACTTCTGCTCGTATGTCGTCTCTTCTTTGTCGTCGTCGACGCTTCGTTGTCTCTGACCGGCTGGTTCCCTTGCGGGGCGCTACCATCGCCTCCGCGCGCATTCGGCCACTGGGCCACGATCTTCAACCGGCCATAGCAGCACTAGTAGCTGCAGAACGAGCAGAATTGCTCCAGCAAACAACCGTTAGTTAGCTTAGTTTGTTACTAGCCTTGACGCGTGACGGTGGCCTGCTTTGCTGGACTGGCAGAGAATTTTCGGAGGCAGGCGGAAAAACGAACGCTCTGCAAATTGATAGATGCCATAAGACGACTGAAGCGGAAACAGACAACGGTCACGTGAAGACAGACTCCACGTGAGGCTTTTAACTTACCGAGTCGAAATCTGCGTTTCATCAGTTTCGATCATTCAACGGTAATTCAGCATCGTTAGGTACGCGTTGCGCAAATCAGTATTACAGCGTCGTGCGATAAAGTATACGATAATAAGCCAGCTACCTGCAGCCAGGTTTGTGGTATTGTGAAGCTCAATTTGTGCATGTTCTCCTGCCAAAGTTACTCAATTGGTTACGCTGTTGCGGAATAGTGCTACCGTAATACAGAGACACTATCTAAGCGGCATTTACCGCTAAAGTGAAATAGCGATCGGTGATTCACTGCAAGGCCAGATAAACTAAAGTTAAACAAGTGATAGCAACGGCTTGTTGAAACTGATCTCGTGTCCGTTCTTTGCCTTCATTGCCTGTGGGTGCCAATTACATTGAACACAAGCCTATTGTAGCTGCTCACCAAGACGAAATCGGTTGTGACCTCGTCGGCCACGTATCTGACGTGTGAAGTTGGTCGGTGCAACTAGAAAATATCGAAGGCAAAAATCTGTCACAATGGTGAGTATTAAGTGAAACAACAAAGCATCAGAAATTACTATGGTCAATCACCTTTCTTTCGTGGCGCGAAAGTTTACTGCATCAAAACACTTTGTTAGATTGTTAAGTTTAAATATGCCTTCTTCTGTAGTATACAAAGAAGATTAACTATATCCACATAAATTGTGTAGCACCGGTGTTGTCGGCGAGGTAGGTCCCGATTCCTAGTATCTTTCAACTGAAGGTTTGACCTTCTAAGGAGTCCCATTGATGATTTTACAAGACATTCTATGGGTTTCACAACAAAATGTTCGTAACACTAATGAGGACACTTCGATTCTGACAAAGAGGAAGGTCCTTTGACCATTAAACCATTAGGTATTGTAGGATACGCATTTAACACATATCGTGAATACCGTACTCTATACCTACTGGTTTCTGCAGTTTTCTATAATTCTTGCCTGAAACCGACAAACTAATGAATGCTAGTTCTCTGATATGAGCACAAAACGTCAGGTTTCAACAGCAGGCACAGAGGGCTTAGCATTTGTGTAGTTCCGCATCTAGCGTCTTCTGTTTGGCTAGTGCTAATGTACGTGATGCATAGGAAAGCCTATAGATTCTTCAGAGCTACACGTCTAATGTCACAGAAAAGTATTTGAACTAATTTCCCACTCTGGTGCGCACCATTCGCTATCTCAACAGCAACCATACGCACCATATTAGAGATCAGTTAAACACTCCAAATGACTTACGACATGTTCGAGCCGTTCCATGTCTACAATATGAAGATGACTGAAGACCGATTGATCTCGGACTCGACGCTTTAGAGATATTGCTGGGAATAGATTCAGATATAAGTGCTTTCTATCCTTCAACCAGCTAGATGCTAACGATAGTATACGTTACATGTTTAAATTCTCGCTGACTTAATGCCCTGAAACAGATAGCTGTCATCACGCCTCGGCAGAATGCGAAAGCTTTGATTGCGTAGTTATGACCCGATATCGTCTTCTTCACCTACTGTAACTTCACAATATCGTTAGGTAGCTATTAATGTCTCAGGTTTTACATGAACAGAAATATATAAGAAGCGAATGGATACCGCATAAAATTAAAACTTGCTGTATGTCTATTTTGAGCTGAGTTGCATCTAAAATCGGTTGTCCAAAATCAAGTGGCCCTTAGAAAAATGCCAGAAACTTCATTGATTAAAGGAAGCCATGCGATTTCGAAAAAAGTAAACGCAACCCGTCTTTTTTGTGAAGATTGAGCCTGTATCCTGCGTGCTACAACTACTGCGTGTCACTCAATGTAACGTACCTGTGTTTATCGTTTGTGTGTGTCATTGCGTAGATGTTACCTTTTCTTTTATAACGTGCACCGCACATGTGGGTATCTTAACTAAGCTTTCTCATCATTTAAACGCATTTCTTTACTGCCCCTACATTGACTAATAGGATGATTTACTCAGCCTTAGTTATGGTCATCTTACTGCCTGCTACTTGTACCCTGCACGTTGCAACGTCAGAGCTTAGGACCATTGATTGAAAGCGGAACAAGAAGAGCCTAAAGTCTTAGGTTGCAGCTTGGCCTATTTCGGCCTAGTGGAACTGCAGTAGTCAATCAAGTAAACGGGCAGGTTAATACTAGAAATGCCCCCTCTCTTCTGTGGGTTATTGACACCAGGCATCAATTTCGCTTAGAACGAATAGACGACTAAAAAAAATAGTAAAATTTCACAACAGACAAAATCATCAGAGCGTGTTCTATAACCACAGCTTAATGTCGTATGGGTACTAGTTGAAACACTAAGCTCTGAAAGCGGCTTGAGTCAATAACGAAAATAAGTGCGGGCCGAAAAATAGATCCGAACAGTCTACTACCTTTAACTATAGCCAGTGCTCCAGTTCTGCGAAATACACTTCCCAATACTGCATCTTTACGAGTAGCCCAAAGAACTTAAATCTAAAATAAACCTGTATTATCACCTATTAAATTAATCGAATGCTTATTACAGTACGAATTTCACGGAAGATGGCTTCCAGCAGATGCGGTCGTTAGCGGCGTGGAAAACACGCTACCGGTTCGTAGTTCGTACGTGAGTAAGAGTTTTTGCAATGATTTGTATTTGAGAATGCCGTTCCACTGCCCGTTCTTTGTTTAGTCTAATCCTTGAAGGGGTGGGGAGCAATAAAATGGTGATATGCCTCCTCCTGACAATCAGACGCCGACGACGCGACACTAGCTGCTATAAAAATAGCTGGTATTGCTCTCTGTCCGTATAAGGTTGGGTGGCTTCACCGGTTCTTTGGTTGACACGCAAAATTAACTTCTAAAAAATGGGGAGAAATTAGTAAAAGGAATGCTATATTCTTATGAATAATATTTCTTTGCTAAAAGCTGGCGGTTCGCCTATGATGTACGTTGTGAAAATACCCTATGCGCATCAGGCTCTTTTGGTTTCCTCTTCGTCTTTTTTCCGCAGTTGCAATGTTGCCGATTTCATCATTTCAATGCACAAATAATAATAATAATAACAGTTTTAACTATATTCGTTTAGTAAATGAACCAGAATGGGTCACTGAAGATCCCTTAAACCGTCAACAGTTGGGCCGCCAATTCTATCTAGATCGTTTATCTTACCATTTCGAATGGGAGACGGGCGTACGCCAAAAATCCTCGCCATCTGTTTCTTTTACAGACAAAAATTATTTCATCCATAGGATTCGTGGCAGACTAGTGGCAGGACTCACATAACAGTTGTAGCGTCGTTCGAGTCCAGACTTATCCAAATCGTCATGACATTTTGTTATGGGTTCGATAGTAGCAGCGGGAGCTAGAAATTTTGTGTTGATTATGAGTGACTGATTGAACCAGCGAGCGACCAATCAACCTGTTGATCGCCTTGAGGGAATGACGAGAGACAGAGAATTGGTATTAATTACGAGACGGCACTCAGGCAGGCATTAAGATTCCGAGTAGAGGTTGAATAGAGGGGACTTGCGGGTCGTGTAACTATAGCGTCCGTTCAATCGGCGTCACGTCAGCAGCTCGACAAATGATAAAGATGGCTGCGGGACCATTTGTCTGCCACGAACGCTGCTGCAATCGTAGAATTGGCACCTCGTAGCATGCGAATTTTTTTTTAATTTTCGGGCTTCTTTTCATATTTTGCTTTCGTTGATCTTTTTTTAGTCGCGTCGTCCGTATGCTGTCAAATCGACAAATGGCAAAGTCTGCTGCTGTCATTGCCAGCCTGGTGTTCCATGTTTCTTTATTCTTCATTTTTAGTGGTTAGCTAGAAAGGCGCGGGATTGGCTGTAGCCGGAGTAGCGTGTTGGCTTTTTGGCATTTTAATGCATACATTTTTTCAACTAACTTATTATTGGAAAGCCCAGCCGCATCAGTGGCGGCGCTAGCGGAACGAATAACAATCACAGCGATCTTCCGGAAGCATTTCCGTCCCGACGGTGTCAGCATAAGTGTGAATGATTTTTGAAGAAAAACAGTGGTGACAGAAGTACCTCCTGCTTCTGCAAATAACTTGTATATTCACTGTGTTCATACCGTAGCAGCTGCTTTTATGGTGCTCTGATCGTCTGGTCGCTTAGATGGCCATCGGAACAACGGCAGGACAGTAGCGACTCATTCGGTTCCACTCCGCTGTGGTCTATCGACGGTGGCCTGGCTGATATTCGCCAATCAAAAAAACAGCACGCTTCGCAGCATAGGTCCAGCGTTCGGTCCTCATTTGATTCTTCGTAATGGTGTACCTTAAGATTTCAAGACGGTAAAGCAGAGGTGCCGCTAGCTAGGGATCCGGTGCTCTTGGTAGTGCCGCTGCTGCGCTAAACCCGCGAACGTCACTGATGCCAATGGCATGATTGCTACTGTTGTTGATGCTACTACGTTAAAATTAGTTTCAGCAGTAGTAGAAACAGCAGCGGATACAGGTGACGAAATGAAGCCTGCCTTTGCAGTTACCAACCGATGATACGGCATCGGAAGGACCCTTTGGCGGGAATGAGCGTTGCTATTGAAACTCCCCCGATTCTAGTTTTGGCCGGCGGTTGCTGTCGTTAATGCATAGTTTAGGGAAGGAGTGGCCGTGGTCTTCTAGCTGTGGACGACGGCTGTGGCGGGGTAATGTCCCCTATCACTCCTAACGGCGTCCCCTAACTACAGGAGCACACTACTACCATTGCGGGGTAACGCGCGACACGACGTCGATTACTTCGTCAACGCAGTCGTAGTAGTTATAACTGCTTCGGAGACGACATCGTCGGATCGAGAACACGCACGCCGCTAAGGAATAATAAGAAAAACCCTGTCTAGATGTCGGCAAGTACATGCAGACGCTCACGCACACGCGCACTCACACACGCATGGCTGAACTCACCGATGATCACATTGACTCTTCGGCAATGTATATAGAGAGGGGGTAGTCAGGCAAAAGTGGAAAGGGAAAAAAAGAGACGCAGCGGCTAGGCGATAAAAAAAAAATAGAAAAAAAAGACGGAAAAACCGATAACAGAGATATATTTTGGGGTGGCTAGCAGCTGGATAAGATCAAACGGAGTCGGTACTCTTTCACCACTCGTATAGCGATAAGTTTATGAAAAGCTACAACTCGAAATGACTGTTTTTGCTAATAACAAACAACAAGAACATAATAAACGTTGCCCAGTTAATTCATCTGCCCCGTTAAGGAAAACAGCTGACGAATTTATGCCTAATCAAGTTATTACCCTTGCTATACTTATATGTGATGGTTGTTTGCCGCCTTCTATAGAGTAACGTGTAGGCATCTTTTAGGAGAAACAGTAATGCTCTCGTTGGTACTACAGTTACGATAAATACACGTAACGTCAGGTAATCGTTGAACATTGCGTTGTCCTGATAGAGAATAGTCGGTTAAACCTCTTTCCTTGTGCTCCTATGATGCTGGGTTGATCAGTGCGAAAAAAGTTCGGGAGCTCCATGACAAGAAGTAAAGCTAAAAAAGCATTTACTCTGATCTTCTATTCTAAATACAGTGGTTAGTAAACCTCTCCCCAGACGAGCCACCTAGCATTGCTAATACACATATAAATAATAGTCAAATACCGCTATTTAGAGATTGTGATGCAATCTAGATCAAGGTATAGACAACGAATTGTTCAGACACCTCGCCATTCTCGTACGAATCTTCGGGTCTCAACTCAAACACAACTAATAATGCTCAAGAGGATGTAATTCATACTATCGAACACTTACGTAATGGTCTATGTCAATATATTTCGATATTGTCTTTATGAATTAGTTTTTAAGCGGCCTTTTTAAAGCATTCCCAATTCCACTGTTTACATTGCATACGATGTTGCGCGGCAATATGATGCGACACGAAGGATCCTGACACAGTTGCCCTTTAAACGTTTTAGCATTGAGTCCTACGGCGAATGATATAAATAGGCCGTTCGCTATTTCATGTTTTTATCTGAATATCACAAGTGTTAACCCGATTTGTCATACCATTTCAGTATTACCCTATGCCGACCTAGAGTTGTCAGTCGCTCTATGAGGTGAAGATCTTGTTCTCCCTAAGAACTGAAACACGAGTATACCTGAAAGCGGATGCCCGCTCAAGCGAGTTCTTTGGATTCTATAAAAATCGATAGCACTTTTGACAAAATCCGATGCTAAAAATGCCAAATAGATACCTAGAAAATATTTGAAAACGAACTCTTCAAGACGACGTCATTGGTTAGTACCGTTTTCGAGAGCAAAATTAGTCCTTCGTCATGAAGCCTTTATAAAAATCACAAACCTAGTTAACCAACTCTGTTTTCTCATACGATTGCAGAAGTCGCAGATGGTTGTATCGCTGGTCTTAGTTTGGCCATTGGCTGTATTTGCGACCGGAAAAACCTCAGCTTCATCTCAGTTGACGCCCATTGTTTCATCACCTGCCGCCACACCTGTTGTTAAGCAAATGGGGCCTTCATTGCCGCTTTCGGCGTCTCTACAGACCCCCACTCAAAGTCAACAGTACGCTATGCCCCTGACAGGCGTAATCTCAGCACGTTCTGTGCAAAGCCAATATCCCGTACAGCAATCTGTAACTGGTAAAAATGTCCAGCACAAACGTAGTAAGTTGTCCTCCGATTGGCTTAAAGGACTTAATCAGAGATCAATAATAGATTCACATAGTCAAACTCGTTGTTTATATTTTATATGTCAATGCTGGAATAATGAATTTTGCTTCCATAGATAATGCGCGTATCTGAAATGTTCATTCTATATAATGAAAGTGAAGGGTGGTAGGTGAGCCACTCCAGAAAGGATACCTTGTCAAGGGCTGATAATATCTTATATATACCTATTACTATACTTCTATTGACAGTTCTGATTACGTTCGAAGAATTATGATGAAACGTATTTTGCGTCGCGAAGCTCATTTCCGTAATGGCTCATTTGTATAGTATTATTCTTACATTCTTTAAAAGGAATCGCTTCAGTCACCCCGTCAGCCGAGGTGGGCTCAGTTCCCCAACTTAGTGTTGCCGATATTTTGGCTTTCCGAAGAGCTGTTCAACAGAGCCAACTTTTGTCTCGATCGGGAGTCCTTGCACCGTAAGTATGACATTTGGGATTATCCTGCATTAATGTAGTTGTGCTAACTACGTAAGCTTTATAAAAAAATTATCTTGACCTAATGAGGCTTTATTTACGTGAGCAGACATCTCAGCCTTTATAAATAATCAAATACCTCATTATCACATGACAACTAACCTATTTTTTTCAGATACTTCCCTAGCGAAAGCCTTATGAAACCTTGTTAAAGGTAGATATTACAGGAGCACTGTATTTACATTGTTTTAAAATTTAACTAAGCTTCAAAATTAGAACCGGCTTATTCAAGCCCCTCGGTGAGCATATGCCCCGCTGAGTTTCAATCTTACGGTCTTCATGTTAATAAATAAAGTACATTTTAGATGCATACACTAGTGTATTAAATATATATCACAACAGCCTCATCAAATTCTATGACTGAGAGAATTAAAACATGAATGGTAAGCAATATCGGCTCGCGATACTGCGACTCGAAGCCTTTGGCTAGTTAATCCCCGAAGTGCGGCATGAGCCCAGGATAGCCAATTGGCTTACGAAGGTATCGGTGTATTTTTATTTATGTAAAAATATTATTGCCACTTATACATTTCCTCAAAATACTCAAAAGTTTTTTTTCTTATTTACGGAATCGATATTAAATTTGCAAAAACATTTACTCAATCGTCTACTATCACCTTTATAGCTACGACCGACTAGAACGAAAGACCGTTCTTTTACTTTTTAGCTCGGCTAGTGGGCCAATAAGCAGAAGCGGACTTGGTTATGGAACGAACGGTCTGCTCGGCCAATTTGGCGGAGCCCAATTCCCCGGAGGAAGTGTAACGCAGTTTCACGACGCCTATCTAGCGTCAGGTTCCGCGCCAGCGGGTGTACATCTGCCGCCGTCTCCTGCTGGCAACAAGAACTCCATTTCTACACGCTTCAGAAGTTTCATGAACTCGTTGTTTTTCAGGTACACACTACGTCTCGCTTGTTTCCTGTTTCACATCAACAAATTTTTCTTGCCTCTCGACGGTTTCGAAGGTTTCCCTATCGTCGTTTTGCATTTCTATGTTCTCTTTAGTTCAGTGTGGACTCTTTCATATGGACTTCGTCTCGTCATCCTTCCACACACTTGATCTATGTTTTAGTATCTTTCACCGCTATGTACACTTCCTTCTCACTGTTCTATGCATTATATATATATATGCTTTTGGTAGCCTATAGGAGTAACACAGCTGTTGGAAAATGTCGTTACGTATGAAATCAACTAGAAAACTTTATCTTTAGAGTGTTTCGCTGATAATATCTAGTTGGAAGAAACGACTGTCTGTGTATATAAGAATAAGATTTGGATCTTTAAAAATTTTTTAGTGTACGAACGAAAATTGTCTTTGTGGGTGATTTGCTTTCAAAGGCTCTTTAATGGAAAAAGAAGCCTCAATCGCTGTAGAATTTTGTAAAATGTATGTAGGGATGATTTTTGCATATTCGTTTTTATTTGGCATAACAAAATTCAATGTTAATACATATGTATGCTGGACAGCTACCATGTTATCTGTACTTTCTTTTCTGTGACGTCTAATCAGGCGTTCCACAGCGGCGTCGCCTGCTTTCTATCAAGGAGGTCCTTCGCCATACGGTATTCCCGGTGCAACTGGAGCATCGGCTAGTCCATTTAGCCCCCCCAATGGGTACCACGGAGGATCGGCGCATGCCCACGGCTTTTCGTCAAAGATTTACCCCGGCAATGCAGGAGCGTACAGCCCACAACCTTCCGGAGGAACTTACCCAGCGGCGAGTGGTTAGTATAGAAAAGTAAATAGATGTATACATATAGCTTACCTCTTTCTTCTCTGTCAGGATATGGCCATCAGGATGCTTTAGCCTGTGCATATACAAGATACAGTTGTGCCCAGGCATATGATGCATAAACAGAATTACTCTTGAAATTGATGTGGTGGCATCTCGATGAGTCCGTTCTGTGTATAAACATTATTCACTGGAGATACTCTAGCCATAAATGGATCGCTCCAAGCGATTTCTGCAAATACTGAAGTTACGATTGTGGTATGCCTGTTCGTTTAAAGTAGGACAGCAATAGCGTTCCTGTTGAACTGCAGCATTAACTATCACTATATAGAACGCAGCCTGCAGAATCCTGCATGTATAGAGAGCAATCCTGCAATATGCATTTAAATCTTGATTTTCTTTCTCATTCTTCTTCTATGTGTACTTTGCGTTGACTGTTACGTTAACATTTAAAATCGAAGGTCCGGTTAAGTCAAGCATCGGATCATCACCAGTAACGCCAAAACTAACCAGTTACCAGACATCAGCTAGCTCGTTGGTTTCTTCAATACAAAAGGCCTCAATTCTGCCTATGCCTGCCACCTCAGTATCCTCGAGTCCAGTCAGTGGGGCATCGCCCGTCAGTCGACCTTCCAGCTCCGGGGGTGCTTTCTACCCCTCCGCCGCGTCTGCCCCAGGACCATCTTTCGATAAGACACAGTTCTCCTCTCTATACGGCACCAACGGTTTTACCGCAAAAGCCAGCCCCATTGGCTCGTCCCACCCAGCTAAATCATCGAAGTCGTTGAAAGCTTCTTCCAGCTCAACAATGGAAACGCCCGAAAACCAGCCGTCGTCTTTTCATTCCGTAGCCGCCCCAGGCCAGCAGCAGTATCAATCCCTGGGCGCAATAAAAACTACAATTACCCCAGTCTCGGCTCTTGATGCCGTTAAGACTAAAAACCACCACATAAGTGATGCGCTGGGAGGTGCGCCGACGCAAATTGTCACGTCTTCGATACAAACAAGTGGGCACTCCGTCTCGCATTCGCTTTCATCGCAGTCGTCCTCTTCATCGGAATCAAGCGAGAGTACCGAACAAGCCGTTAGCAAATAGGCATCGCTGTAACACGGCAGTAACTATTCTAATAAAACAATGCTTATATTTATGATCGGTTATACTCGGTACGTTTAGCGATGAACGTGTGTCGTATGTGATCGATCGCTGCTATGGAAGGTTGGGCTAATAAGTGACTGGCAAGAGGCATCTATTTTGGCGTCTTTTTGTATTCGACGAGATACTGGCAGATAGTTCTCGTGGACAGGAAGGAATATCGTGGGACTTCTTAGCCGTAAAAAAGAAAAAATGTCATTCGACCATATATGAATGTTTTCAATGATCTATTGCTAATACGCATGGCATCAATTGGATTAAGCTCATTAAAATATATAATAGCGGGCTATAGGCCACTAAAACAGCAGAAAGCTGGTGATATTGCTGAGCTATGTAGTGTCGTCTAACGCAGTACAAAATAGAATAGACGGATTACTCTACTAAGAAACCTGTCGGTGACTCGAACGCACAGAACCACGGCGTCAAGAAGAAACACTTCACAATTGGTTGTGCTTATTTACGATGAATTGATTAATCAATAGGTATTGCAATAGAGCGGCAAACATATATGTAGGACAAATGTCGTGTGTGATGATTTCTCGATCGAAACGTTACGTATAACACGCTCAGGCAGATGCTGTGTATCTATGAGTCGCAGAATGTGAACTGATCTTGGTGTTCGGCGCGAGCTTGTACCAACAAAAAGTATTTGAGAAATATAGCTGGAGTATTACAAGCAAGCTTTTGAACAAATGCGGATATTAAAGGTACGCCGATTACGGCAAAAACAAACTGCATTGCATATACCTATATAATACTGTAGGTGATGAACCGAAGTGTCGGGAAATGAGGCTCGTATGTAATTTTGAAGGCGAGATCTGTAAAATATTTATTGTATAGCAAACATTTGCACGATTTCTTCCTTACATAAATGAAAACGATCGACGACATTAGTGCATTACGTATAATTGATAATAAAATGAAGATCTACAAGTAACAAAAAAAGTACTACCATTTTTTGTGGGGATATATACGATGGGGCAAGGTCGTCTAAGGATGAAAAAGTCATTTGCAGGTTGCAAAGCATCCGTTTTGAAATAATACGAAATAACCAATTATTGCAGTGAAATGCGGAACCGTTCAATAAAGGTTCTGAAAGAGCCACGTGAGACCTGTTCCACTGTATATATTTGAATCCTTTTTAAAGTAGCGGTTTTCTATTTCAGGTGACGGATCAACGTTTCGATGAATCGGGGTGTACTTTGTATTCTTTTGAACATAAATCATAATTAGGATCTAGATTCGTAGTTTGATAATTTATTGAGGGGAGTCAACACGAACTTATTGAGTTCGTTCAAGATTGAGCTGAGAAGACGAAATAGAACTTTTGAGTGAGTCCACCGAAAACAGACATTTGTAACTTTAAAGTCTTGATTTTTAGGCCTATGTGGGTTCCAGCTGTGACAAAAGTTTTTCTCGATGAGTTCGAGTCGTACAAAACATAATAAAAGGAAACAGATAATCTCTTGTTATTTACTGTATATCTATATATGAGCGAAAAATGAGTAGTTTATGAAGTGGGCGAATTATCAGCTCCAAGGCATCCAATCAATCAGTCAGTCAATCATAGTTCCCTGTTGGCGCGAAGGTGATATGGCACCCCATCAACTAATAAGTTATATGACTTAATTGCCAAGCTGTGTGGCCTATTCTGTTACTCAGTTTTGATCTTTTAAATATCCGTCTAGCTAGTTTCTTTCGTCCTTTCAATCTAACAATTGTCAATGTATCAGTTAAAAAAGACATAACATTATGAATTAAGCCTATTGTTTATTGTTTTTTTTTGATACATTTATCAACTGTGTGCAAGACCAGATTAATATCTCGCACGCGTACTTAAGAACGGTCCTTGTAATAATGCTAGTAATCTGGTTATACGGCGGATTATATATATATATATATATATATACCCTATTATTTCACTGTTCTATTAAATAAATTCGCCTAGTGAACTCAGAGAAACAAACAAGAATACAGAAAACTACAAGTCTGTCGAAATTTAAGAAGTATGATGTTTGAATCTTTAACAGATTTAGAATCTGAGGCAATTGTTTTGCGCTTACGATTCGGAGCTGATCAAGAGGATAAGGCGTACGAGTTATATCGACCATAGTAGTTTTCTGCGACGGTACTTTATTATAGTATCGACGACATAATTTCGTTTATGAACAACCTTAGGAACGTGGCACATAAGCACAAAAAAAATACGGCGTCTTAATTTAGTATACAGCTTTGAAACAGCTTGATTCTTCTGCTCCCTTTGTAATTCTTTGTTCAAAAATGAGTGAGTCGTTTGAATTTTCGCGCTACTCATTGATCCCTTTTTATTTACATTTGCTTCGGCAAAAGTGCAGGAGTTGTATTGTTGGACACGGGTGCAATTTCACAATAATACAATACAATCTCGAGCTTTCCGCCGGAATCAGGTATATCGATGTGCTAAGCATCCTGCGGTTTTTTTAATTGGAGCAACGCGCGTCTTGTGTAAATAACAAAATGAACTACACAAACACTCGTCAGGTGTTGCAGAAAACCTACGGAAGCCAGCCATAGATGAAGCTTAATTAAACAGGTAGCTCGAACGTTTCGAATACGAACATGAGCATATCGAGAACCCGATTCGTCCTGGAAGTAGATCGTTCAGCATGAGTTGGTACCGTCCGGTTCCACAGTTACCGAGGTGTACAATCAAGAAACACTCTTCTTAAAGTTCTATTCCAGTCTATCCGAGACAACGGCTCAGAACAGCAACACAGCAAGTCCTGGATTGTTTATCACGACAACGCACCAATATGTGTGTGTTGACTTATTCGACCTGTTCATCGAACATAGCCTCCTGCGGGTTCTTCCGATTGCCAAAACTAATTAAAAGTCCTAGGACTAAGCGTTCCGACACGATAAAGTAGTTGGAAGAAAGTTCGTGGACCGGGTTAAGGGCTATCTCGATTCGAAAAGTGTTTTGAGGACCTAAAAAAACTGTGGTATAAACATACGGCGGGGACGACTTCGGAGGGTACATTATGAATTGCTAGATAGAAATACAATTACTAAGCAATCTGAAACAAACTATTGACATACTTTTTTTCGAAAAACAATTGTAATAACTAATCTACGGTATTTTGTTTCGTGCCAGCTTAAAACGTACAACTCCTAGGATAATCGTGCAGTATAATTCAACGTAGTGATTTTTATGAAACGTAACAGGTTGCAGTTCGACGTATAGCTTTAGGGCAGGCAAAATTTTGGTTGAAAAATAATGTGGTTATTTTGTTTTTCCTACTATCTATTACCTATTACACATCTAATTAGATGTGAAAAAATGCTTGGCTGTCAATCTTATACAAATGCACTTTTTTTATAATCTGGTCGCAGAAAAAACCTAAGTACGCGAAACCCGCTAATATTCTTAGCTGTGTGTATTTCATAAAATGCCAATATTGGTATAAAAATTCATTCTCTTGCTAGAAAAAAAAGAGCGGAGTGGCCTATATAGCCCCTATTTCTTATAGCCCGATCTTTCTCGCTATATGAAACGCAAGCAAGTGATTTTCAAAGCTTAGATTAACAATTATTAAAATTATTTTATTTTTCTAAACCTTTTTGCTTTATGACCTGCTGATCACCTGCATCTCGTTGATTGCGCCTATACAAACATTCTAGTTAGTTGACTGTAATAACTCATGATTCACTTGATTAGCTGCTTATTGATTTGATCAAAGTTTTTTTTTTTGGCAAAAATAGGCTAAGATTAGCGGCGGTATCCGTATTTTTTTGTGAAACGATTCAATAACACAGATTGTCAAGTAGTAGATAGTTATAGAGCGATGGATATGATGGGTGATTGATTTTGCAGAATTTCGAATTATTACTTCCCGTGCAATAGCCAGGGGTGTTGTTCGTGGTATTGGGGTACATGCGTTCTAAATGAATGTAAAAGCTGAAAACTATAAATATTTGACTTATCGCGGTCGCAATGTAACGTAAAAGGTTATGAGAATACTGTGGGACATTGTTTGTGATAGCAAACATTAGCGTAGTTGAAGCATTTTCTGTTTCCTATAAAAATTATAAATTTATTAGATAAGATTTATTTGAGGTGAAATCTTCGGAGCATTTTTGTTGAATGTGCTCACGTAGGCTTAGTGAAGCTCACACGTAAAAACTAACGTGATCCATATAATATGCATACGCTAATTATAAATGTCTTTAATGATTATAGATCCTTGTTCAGACAAAGTGTGAACCATTCTAACCTATTGCTAAAAAATATCGATTTCTTCGCTTTTATACAGCTTCTCGTGCTTTAAAAATATTGGGATCTCTGGTTCATTAGAAACACTATGTTCGAATGTTGAATTAGAATAGAAGCTTTCAGCAGAATTTCGAATGTAAAGACTTATATTTGCAGTGAAATTCAAGTTATCTTCACATAGGCGAGTTATAATAAGATCATTACGTTTAAATGAAATATGCTATGAATAGTCTTAATAATGAGCGTTTTCTGTTTAAACCGAACGTTATTCATGGACGCACGCTGGGATCAGTTGTGAGAGCCTTGTTTTCTTGTTGTAAATATTGTGCAGACCTATACATTGACTGCGTCCACTCATTAAAGCATTGGACTTTACGATTAAACGCCGTTCCTAACCCATCTGGGTCCTAGGTGGCTTATCCTTTTATTGTATTGGGTATTACTACAATAGCACATAGCGTGTCACGTTTTGATGACCTGAAACTATACGCAGTCACTAGTGACACAAAGAGTCGCTGGTAGAATTCTAAGACGGCCTATCGAATACAAGAAATGTGCTATGTGGCGTCTTGTGTTCGTAGCTTCGTGCTTAAATTGTACATTTAAGCAATAAGCTATTTCCATTCCGTGATTAGAAAGCAATGTCACGTTACGCTGAGAGTGGCATTATAAATTATCTATAGTCGGCGTTTTTTTGAACTAACCCCATTTTTAGGAACTATTCGATCCTATTTTTCATGCAACTGGATAAGGTTCGATTCGTTTCCTAACGTATTGCTTCCGTGTATAGTAACCGTACTTCGTCCTTAAGAAGGATACTTAGCTAAAAACCTGTCCAGTGTTTATATTACGCATAAAACGACCTGTCGAATTTTCGCCTACGGATATATACCGAGATGTTTGAAAACCGCGTAGATAGAGTATTTTTAGTAGTAAAAATATAATGATTATTTTAGATATGAAGGATTTATGAAAAGTTCAGCCGATATAATTTTGTTAGGTAAGCAATTATATGGGCAGTGCTACATCGACTTGACATGAGCTTATTAGGGAAACACTGCCTTTCATTTTATTTCCGTCCTTTCATTATGCTAGTTGACAATTACCAACAGATGTTACTAAGTCAAGTAATGAAGCATGAATAAGTTATAATTTTCTAAAATTAAGATGTTTAAAAGCTTTTGAAATGTCCAGAAGCCGGGCATATCCGCGTGAACGTTATGGCTGTGCCTTCGCCGCTCCAATGGGACTAGTGAAATGCCGGAAAAAGCGTTAATTGTGAGGGTGACACGATCGAGCATTTTGGCACGAGTGGTCGATGCTGTGACAGGTGAATGAGCAAGCAACCAAATAGCGACATGACGAAAAAAGGGTGACATACGTTTTTGATATATACATATGTACACATAATGTACTGCATGCTTTTTGACATCAATCAAATTAATGATTATTGATAAAATGATAAAGGGAACCCTGTTTGGCTAGCACAAACGAGACGGTGTCACTCATCCGGTCCAAAATATTTTTTAAGTATATCTGTTAAATTACTTGTTTTAATAAACAGCAGCTTTTTTTCTAAGTTAAATATCTGTGCCGATCGGGAAGCAACCAGCTAGAGTTGTTAAATGGAACCTAAAACACTAACGGTATTTTTTCCTCTCGCTGCCGGCGTCCTAGCACGAGATTCGGGCTGCGTGACGGCAAGCCATTCCGAGAATCTAAGCAGCAGAGGGAGAGGGAGAGAGGGAGAGAGGGGGGGGAGAGGGAGAACGAAGAAAATGGAGATGAATTTGTGTTCGAGTGTAGCGTTTATCCATGAGAATTTCATGATGTATGTGATCGTGTCACGTGACCAGAGTCCGTG